TCTCTCTCTCTCTCTCTCTCTCTCTCTCTCAGTTAGTTCCTGGAAAAGAGTATTTAATTTCAAATGTGAAATATAGGTTTAACAGGTCTTGCAGCACTGTAATGTTACCTCTGAATTTAACATCCATCTCCATTAAGACCAAGCCAAAAGAGTAAATTCTTGTGAAGTGCCTTTCCAGAGGACACAACATTGGACCGATTTTGACATTGTCCAAAAATGTAATTAATATGATGATAGCTTCCTTTTCGTTGTACAAACTTGCCCCCTTTCATTCTATTTGTGAAGAAATGTTGCCTACAATCAGTCACGTATGGTCATTGTGGAATCTGCAGGCCTTTTATAGGTGGTTCAGTCGTAGTGAGATAAGGAAACTGCAAGACATAATAAGATAAATAAGTAGCTTGGCAGTGTCTGATTGATTTTTTTTAGTGGGTTATTTTTTGGTTGTTGTTTGATTGCCCACCTGCTGTCTTTTCCTATTGATGTTTCACCACACAGGTTTCAATGTGTCAAGAAATACACGAGTCAGTGACCCACAACTCCCAGCGCTACCTGGACGAGATGTCAAGACACAACTACGTGACCCCTACCTCCTACTTGGAGCTGCTGGGCATTTATTCCCAACTGGTCAGTCGCAAGAAGACTGAGCTGAGTGTGGCTAGCTCCAGGCTCAAAACAGGGCTAGACAAGGTAATGAGAATAATAGTAGTAATATGTTGTTTAGTGTATATTCCAACTCAAAAGTTGGCTCTGTGCGCTTTTATATTGTATTATTACCCTGACAGACCTTTTAACAATCTGAAACATTCCCTGCTTCTTTTGAAGCATTCAGTGCAAGCTGTCATTTGTTAGATATTCAAACACTAATATACTGACAAGTCATTCACTCTCTTGTCCAAGTTCCCATTCCCACCAGTTTGAAGTGGGGAACGGTGGTGTGAAGTATCTATCTCAAGGGTTTGACATTAGGGTCTGTTTTGGGATTTGAAATCTACATCCTTGTGATAGTGTAAGAGTTCCTCTCTTTGAGTGTAGAACCGCCTTGTTTAAATTGAATATGATAATTGATTGCAAATGTTTACCATGTACATATTTACAAAATTTTAATCGCTTCAGTGGTTGGCTACTTCAACTCGTCTTTGTCTGGGCCAACAGTGGCTGAGTAGCTGCCAGTATCCCAGCAGAAAGATGGAGACACTCTAGAAAGTGGACTTCTCCTCATGGGAAAAGTACTTACATCTTTTGCATGCAGTGATGAAGACTATAGGCATTACACCACAGATGTTGGTTAATCAAATGATTTAAATGTTCAATGATTTTTCTTTTTCACATCTCAGATGTTGGTTAATCAAATGATACAAAAGTTCAGTAATTTTTCTTAAACAGATATTGTCCACCACTGTCGAAGTGGCTCGGCTGCAGCTGGAGTTGGCTGAAATGCGGCCAGAGCTGGACATTGCGGTCAAAGAAGCAACTATCACTATGGAGAAGATTGCCGAAGACACTGTAGGTTGTCAGTGTTTGTTGATATGTTGTTGATGCATGCTTTTCTTCTTGTTCTTCTTGATCTTCTATTATCTATTTGTGGTGGCCGAATTTTGCTGCTATTCAAAAGGCTTTTTAATGGCTGCATCGATCGACATGCGGTTTTCGCCAAAAGATACTTTGAAATATTCTCCTGATCATGACGCCCTTCGTTTTTTCAGTTTTGAAACAGTTTTGCTACAAAAAGCTAAATTTCTTTATTTCGACGATCGCTTTTGTAGGTCGATGCTTCTGTCTCTGTAATTTTAGAAAATCCGCCAGGTTTGTTTATTTCAAGTCGTACTTCCGTTCGATACTATCGCGCATTGTCGCGCAATACTGAGAAGTATTTTAAGTATGCGACCTGAATAAATCTAGCTTCGTGTTTTCTTTTTTAACTTAATGCTGAATTCGACTGTGATCCTTTCTTTTTATGCCCATCATCGCTTTTTCTGGACTCCTTCGTCAAATTCTTTTTCTTGCTACTGGGAACAATCAACACGCTTCTGTACAACCACGACAGCGGAATAGAGAATCAATCTATTCATCTATTATATAATATATTTGACAACTTGGAAACACATATTTGTCACTTTTCTCTCAAGATTTATTGCTCCATTCCTTTCAGTAGAGTGTAAATATACAGTATTCAGTTGGTGTTAATGCACAGATCATTCCTTTCATCGAAAGGGGGCCCAGCTAGTGTTCTTCTATTCTTGTTCTCGCTCTTTAAGGTTTCTAAAATCATACTTCTTCTCCTCCTTCGGTTAAAGGGGTGCAAAAATGGTCAATTTTACTGTTGAACCTACTCTAATGACCGTTTGACAGAGACAATCTCCTTTGCAAAAGACCACTTCCCACTTTCATCCTTGCATTTTTTATACTTTATCATGTTACTGATGGGACGTGCTCTCATGGTCCAGAGGTTCCAGTGTTCACCTTTCATTCAAAAGGTCCCAAGTTCAAAACCTGACAGGGTCGGAAAATTTTCAGCTCTAAAATTTTCTCCTTTCACCTCATTTCCTGCTGTCTAACCATGTTCTGTCGTCTGCTTTCATCTCCACTTTCTGCCTTCACCCCCCACTTCCTTTGTCCCCTCCTTTGGGATCCTGACTCTTTCTGCACCGTTCAACTGCTGCTCCTTACTTGGCTCCTTTTTACTGCTGTTTTTTAGCCCCGCCCCTGATCTTAGGGTAGGTAAGATCTAATACCTTGCCTTCTCGGATAAGGGCAAAACATTTCAGAGGCCCTGTGTGCAAGTTGCGCATGGTAAAGATCCCTTGGTGGTGGTGGTCCAAAAACGATAAGAGTAGGCTTCGGCTGCCAACCAGAAAAAATTCAAAATTAATTTCTACCAAACTAAATATGTTTAATATGTTCTGCACGCTCATATGACCTTATGCAATTGCGAGCGCCATAAAACTTACCACCCCCCCCCAAAGTCACTGTCCAAGAGGACCACCTGTCTAAGAGGGTCATTTTCCTCTTGACAATAGGTGGTCGTCTTGAACAAGTTTGAGTGTACAACAGTGGCAAAAAGCAGTGGCATTGGGAATAATTGATGAAACATGATACACATCATTGTCAGCCTTACTTTAAAACTAAAGAGCCCAAAACAGTCTCAGACAAGGTAATGGACTGGTCAGTATTGGATTAAATTCATTGATGTCTTTCTTTTTCTCACAGGCAGTAGCCGAAGCCACAAAGGCTGTAGTCAAGAAGGAAGAAGTGTCAGCCACAGCAAAAGCCATGGAAACTGAGGCCATTGCTGCAGATGCGCAGAAAGATCTAGATGAGGCTCTGCCTGCTCTGGTATTATGTCTTTCATTTTTTTTTTTTTCTGACTCGATTGAAAGATTTGATATGGTAGGCTTGCGCCTGTAGGTTGTTTTTTTTTGTGTAGAGCTATAGTGCTTGACTTTTGTACGATGCTTGTCTTTTGTGCTGAAGTAGTTAGAATGGAGCTGAGATTAGGCCGACTTGATCAGTGGATTACTTGAGTTTTTTCCTCAGGCTGAACTCTACTCTTGCTCAAGGGTAGATAAGATCTGCACATGTCATCTTCTTCTTCTTCTCGATCGCATCACACTTGAAGTCCGGTATCTGTCATAAATTGGGCCGTCCTAGTCAGTTCATCTGGCGGCCCGTATAGCTTCTCTTGTAGCGTCAGTGGGGTTGGCCACGTTTCCTGTCTCAGGGCCCTGTGTGTCTTGCAGTGCTGAAGGATGTGTTCAACAGTTTGGTCCGCCTCTCCACACTGGCATTTTGGTGATTGTACTAGTTTAAAATGCACATGTCATCTTTTTGGGTTCTGTAGAGAAAAACGTGCAGGCCCGTTGAGGCTATATATATGGAAAACTCAAAAGTTCTACTGTAGATATTGTGTAGGTAAAAGTTGGAGATGTATTGGAGATATTGTTTTGGTAGAACTTGAAGATCATGTGGGGATATTGTAGTGGTAAAACTTGGAGGTCACCTGTGATTGCATTGCTCTGCATGCAAATAGTGTTAGGATGTCCTTACATCAAATAAATGTGGTATTTCCTTGTCCACCTTTTCCCTCTGTTCTGAATTAACAATTTTAGAACCATGCTACTTTTCTAACTGGACTCAAAAGGTTGTAACATTGTGTTGTATCCAGACAGACTCTGGGATGGATCCTGAAGAGGGGGAAAAGCAGAGATGAACATGTTCCGATTGTAGTGACCCCAACACTGTGGACAAGGTGTGACAAGGTGTGTGTGTATCCATAAAATGAAAGTATCAATCATCTTGCAGGATGCAGCTTTGGCAAGCCTGAAGTCTCTGAATAAGAATGATGTGACTGAGGTGAGGGCCTTGCAACGACCGCCCCCTGGTGTCAAATTGGTTATGGAGGCAGTCTGCATCATGAAGGCCATCAAGCCCAAGAAAGTAGCTGGAGAGAAGGTGAGCTCAGTTCTTGTTTCACTTCTTTATGTATTGTTTAGCTTAAGTAAAAGTTTTATGGCGGGTGCAACGCACATAGGTCATATAAGTGCCAAAGATTAGAGGTGCTACAAGAGAGTTACCTAAAATGGAAAGAGAGGACGAGGGATAAGGACAACGGATATTTGATAGGAAAGAAGGAGCAAAGCACACCAGAGCACCCGCCAACCACTCACCATGTTTTGTTGAGAATGTTTGTTGGTTTGCTTGTTTGGCAATAGAGCACAGCCTGCTGCCTTCCACTCTTTATTTGCTTCTGTGTAGTCAGCACTCGGAGGGAGAGAGGACGGGAGGGAGATAGATAGAGAGATAGATAGATAGATAGAGAGATAGATAGATAGATAGAGAGATAGATAGATAGATAGATAGATAGATAGATAGAGAGAGAGAGAGAGAGGGAGAGAGAGAGAGATGCTTGTATTTATGTATGCTTTAAGCTGCAGAAGCTGTGGAAAGCACATCATTCATTTCTTCCAACTAATAATGAATAAAGCAGTTTTTATTTATTTCCTTTTTTCCCCCTTTGTCAACAGCCTGGTCAAAAAGTGGATGATTACTGGGAGGTTGGCAAGGCACAACTGCAGGATCCACAGAAGTTCTTGGACAGTTTGTTCCAATATGATAAGGATAACATTCCAAACGACGTTATCAAGAAAATTGAACCGTATATTAATAACCCAAGTTTTACTCCTGAAGCGATTGCAAAGGTAAACTACAATTGTGGTAATGATTATAAAAGTAGCAGTGATAATAATGATAATAATAAGCAGAAGAAGAAGAAGAAGGATGGTAATAATGATAATTATAGCTGATAATGATAACAATGATTTAATATTAGTAATTATAAATGAATCGCATTTCCACTCTTGTTAATGCTGAACATGTTTTATAGCAAAATTTCAAGAACAAGTAGATGTCTTAATTATTGAAAGTAAAGTACATGATTGAAGGTGGTCTCTCTCTTCCTTCTCTCTCTGTCTGTGTGTGTGTGTGTCTCTGTCTCTATCTTTCTCTCTCTCTCTGCCTTTCTCTCTCTCTTTCTCTCTCTCTTTCTCTCTCTCTTTCTCTCTCTCTGTCTCTTTCTCTCTCTCTCTCTCTCTCTCTCTCTCTCTCTCTCTCTCTCTCTCTCTCTCTCTCTATCCTCACGCACACACACACACACACACACACACACACACACACACACACACACACACACACACCACCTCACTTTAAATATTTATGAGAGATTGCTTTCTGTGGTCATCTATACAATATTTGTGAAAGTCCGTCACTTTGGCGGCCTAAAACTTCCCAACCCCACTTGACTTTCAAATTTGAAAAAATTAATAGTGGTTCAGAATCATTCAAAGGGTTCACAGTTTTATTGATGAGTCTGAAGTCTCAGTAGTTTAATTTTCAATTTTTCATTAGTTTCGTTTAGCTGTAATCTTGGGAAAGTTCGTCTTCTAAGACGCCATTGTAAACAAGTGAGGTTTCTGTTTAATAACGGTGTGCACTGATACCACACCTTTGAAATTCTGGAGTGTACAACAACGAAAGCGGAATAGAGAATCGGTCTATAACATCTATTATTTGGCAACTGGAAACACATGTGTCACTTTTCTCTCAAGGTTTATTGCTCCATTCCAATGGAGTGTAAATATAGTAGGCCAATGACTTTCAGTTGATGTTAATGCGCCGATTATTCCTTTCTTCAAAAGGGGTCCAGCTAGTATGCAGATAAAATGGGTTGTTTGCCTGTGTATGAAGGGTGCTTTTAGTTGTTCTAGCTACTTTCATTTTTGTTTGTCATTTTTGTCACCTTTTCTTTTACTCTCTAGCTTATCTTCATTCTCTTTGAATGTCATCTGTTAGCTCAGACAGAGCTATGGTGCAGATGGTCCAGGCTCAAATCCCCACTGGGGCCATCTTTATACTTGTGTTATTTGGGGAGTTTTCAAGGCTCTTCATCCACTTGGCTTCGTCCTAATGAAGATAGATACTACATTCACATACCCTTCCTCTTTAAAGAACTCTTTGGCATTGAAAGTGATGTTAAATCCATACAAATGTTATAAAAATATAATTTAAAGTGTCTTCTGTCTTTTTCATTAGGTTTCGAAAGCTTGCACATCAATCTGCCAATGGACAGGGGCTATGTATAAATATCATTTTGTTGCTTTGGGTGTGGCGCCAAAACGAGCAAAACTGAAACAAGCCAAAGAGGAGTTAGAAGAGACAGAGAGAATTCTAGGTGAAGCCAAAGCAAGGCTGCACCATGTGGAGGCAGGTGTTGCAGCGTTGCAGAAAAACTATGAAGAGTCTATGTCTAAAAAACAGAACCTTGAAGACAAATGTAGGCTGTGTGAAGAGAGGCTGGAAAGAGCTGATAAGGTGAGCTCAGCATAAGTCATCTGTACTCTGCCTACACAAGCTTATTATTTCATCTAAAAATGTTCCCAGACAATTCTGTTTTTTTTCTTACAAGGAACTTACAGGTTGTGATGATGTAGTCTACCTTGTAGCAAACTTTCTTAGCTCTGGAGCTGAATCCAATAATTCCTTTAATATAAGTCATTGTGCCATGCAGTAAACCATGTACAAAATATCCATGATTTTTATCATTTGTGCAATACCAATCTGAAAAAAACAAACCATCCATTGAATGAGTCTGACATCTATATAACATCAATGTGGTGAGATAATTCCATATTACCTACGAAACTGTCAGTACCCTGTAAAGTCCACTCTTTGTATGCATTCTGAAGATTCCCAAAGCAAGCCTCAAGTCTCTGAATAAGAATGATATTTGACTGAGCTATTTAAAAACTTTGAAATAAAACTCCTAACAAGGTTCATATTTCATTGATCTGATAGTGTGTTTAATGGTTTTGTGAACTCTGTTTAACTAATTCCAAGAGCTGATAGAAGGAAGGACTTCTACTTGAAGGAAGATGAATGGGAGGGAGGGTTAGACGTGCGGTTATGCTGAGAACTATGATTCCTTTGTCAATTCATTTTTAATTCTCAGCCTTATAATCCTCAGAAAAGCTGTGTTCTCTTGGGATATTTGTAATGATTAAAATTTGAACAATTCTCCCAATTTAAGACATTTAATGAATCCTTTGGAAAGATATATGTTCGTCACAGAAAGAATGTGGAGTGATATAGATATCAATGGTTGCTTAGGTACTGAATGTCCTTATTTGTGTTTCTCTTTTCAGCTGATTAACAGCTTAGCAGATGAGAAAGACCGATGGGCAGAATCAATCAAGACATTTGAAGTGCTCATCAAGTTTATACCAGGAGATGTTCTTATCTCTGCTGGATCTGTGGCCTATCTTGGACCATTCACGGTAACTTATGTCTTGTGCTCATGTTCTTTGAGCAAAGATAATGTAGTGGGTTAAAATGTGGGAGTTTTTCTGTACTTTCAGTCATCTTTCTTGTGTCTCACAATACTTTCCCTCCTTATAGTGGGTTAGGGGTTTACAGCTCTTACTCACAGATACAGCAACCCCAGTGCTGGGGAAATTACTCTGAGTTTTTTTCTACGTATCTTTGTTTTATGACAACGGCTCAAGTCAGACTGTGGCAAACTTCAAAGAGACCTACCTTAATGGCTCCATCAGTTTCAGCCTGTCTCAAAGTTATTGCTGTCCCTGGCAGAGTGACTACCGTGGCCGCATGGTGAAGGACTGGACTAAATCTCTCAAGAAGCACGAGGTCCCATGCTGCCCTGAGCCCTCATTGATCGGCACTATGAGTGACCCTGTGAAGATTCGCAGCTGGCAGATCTTTGGCCTGCCCGGGGACAGCTACTCGGTTGAGAATGGCGTCATCGTGAACCTGTCCCGGAGGTGGCCCCTGTTCATCGACCCTCAGGGCCAGGCCAACAAGTGGATCAAGAACATGGTAGGTGACAAAGCAGATTTTGCTGACTTTAAGATAACGTTCAGTTGTGGTTTAATGTGAGTCCACACATTTATGGCTACTTTTACTGAATTTCTACTCTAACGGACCATTTCCTCTCCTACAGACCATTTCTGAAGTCATCAACCATTTCTGCATCTATTGTAGACAAGTCCAGTACATAGATGGTTTGTGATATATAGATCATGTTTTCATTTTGACTGCTTAGTGTAAGACACTGCCATATCGCTACTTTAAAATTACAAAGTTCTATCTGACCATATTGGCTGTTTTAAGTTAAAATGAAATGATGATGATGATTACACTTTTATTTGTCCCAGAAGAGCACTTTGTTTTACAATGGCAAACATACATACATAAATACATAATTATAAATACGTACATACATAAATACATACATGCATAAATACATACATAAATACACACTATTACACAAATACAGAACAGTTTACAGACAATGCCACTGTCGGTCGCCACTGTGCAGCGCCCTATAATTTGAGCTAGGGTTGTCGTGTCTTGCTCAAGGACACACTCCAGTGACCACCCATCTGATCCCCGTGTCACAGACACTTGCTTGACATTGCTTGAGTCAAAACTCACTACTCACTTAGCCGCTGGAGCCCCCACTAAGACCATAAGGTCAGAAACCAAATGTTCTATCTGCTCTATCAAAATCGTAAGATTATTTGGAGCTGTTATCAAGACATTCAAAGAATTGTGTTAAAAAAAGCTTGATGTGTGGTGAATCTCAAAATTTGTGTTGTCTAATTTCTCAAAACTAGGTACTGAGCAGATATATATATAGAACTTTGTAATTGTAGAGTAGCCATATTTGCCATTTTGACGGAGTCTCACACTGAGTTGTAGATTTCTTTTCCTATGGACTATTTGTGCTCTTACAGATAGTTTCTTCTTCTCCAACAGTACTTTTCTGCTCTTACAGTTTCTGTAGTTCTTACAGGATTTCTCTGCTCTTATTGATAGATTCTGCTACTCGTACGGGGCCATTTCTGCTCTTATATGTAATTTCTGCTCTTATAGACCATTATGCTCTTTCAAAAGTTGATCTTTAGTTTTGTCAAATAATTGTCATTGAATTCATTCATTTATATTTGGTTTTAGGAGGAAAAAAATGAGCTTGATATCGTGAAACAGTCCAGCAAAGATTTCATCCGGACACTAGAGAATGCTATCCGCTTTGGAAAACCGTGTCTGATGGAGAATGTGGGCTCAGATCTAGATCCATCTTTAGAGCCAATCTTACTGAGACAGGTATTGTATGACAAACTACACAGCTTAACTCTTAGTATATGGTGCACTACTGCAGCTGGCTCACAGCATCACTTGGTTGTTAAGAGTCATAACAAAGAACATTATCAAATTGCAGCAATTTTATCTAATATCTAACTTTTTCATTACTGCTTGAATCGTTCATTTCTACTCAGTTTAGTGGGGGTGTTCATGAAAATAGTTTCAATGGGCGTTATGGGGAAGTTTGTGTTGCTGAAAACTAAGATGAGGAAATTGTGTACAAAACAGAAATAGAGTTCCGTATTCTAAGAGTTAAAGATTAATTGTATAAGAAATGGGGAACATTTTGTTATGGACCCTCAACACTCACCCCCCCCCCCTCCCCCTTTCCCCATAGTTTAATCTCATCCTATGAGTTGTCATTGTTTTGTACCCCCACCAAAACAAGTAGGTCAGTTAGAAGGTGGCTTCTTCAATCCTGCCAACCAGGGATGAATAGGATACAGCACAGCATCCCAACAGGAAAAGTGGAAATAGTCAATAGAGCAGATTTCCTCATGTGGAATCAAACTCATGCTTTTTGCATGCAATGCTGAAAAGCATAAGCTTTACATAATAGACGGTCGGTCCCGTTGTCTTTCCTACCCTATGTACCAGTGGTCATTTCATGTAAGTCAGAATTTTTTCTCTTTTGCCGTGCATGGTAAAACCCCACCTAAAAAGCTGAAAACATCCCCCCAGAGCAGCATCTGTGCTTCTTTTCAGCATGGACACTCATTTTCTAACCAGCCCCTCCCCACCTCTCCTTTGCCCCTTTCGCTAAATCTCAACTGTATATACTTCCTTCTGTCATGACACAACTATTTCAGTGGTCAGTCCTTGGGTGTATTGTTTTGGATTTGAATTTCAAAGAGAGGCCATTGCATGGCCTAGAGTTTCAAGATTTGTGTGATCTTTTTAATTGCTACATTTGGGTCGTGACGCAGTGGAATCGGGAGCTGATCAATTTTGGGCTTATGAAGTTGTTAATATTATCTTAAGGCTTGTTTGGTGATCTTGCATTGTAGAAAAAAATACCTATCTATCTTAAATAGAAGTCGAGATGTTTGTGATTGAATGGGGGGGGGGGGGGGGCAGGTCGCCCGGTGTGAGAGAAATTGGCTCCCGAAGTTTAGCGACTTCAAAAGCTTGGTTGTCCTTGGAAACAGGAAATTTATATTTTTTGTACCTTTAATCAACTTTTTTCTGTAACATCCACACGGAAATGAGTTTTGAAAAGGACATAAAAGGTGTAAGGCCAAAACATGAAAATTTTTTAAAAAATTGGCCAATGCCCAGAAAAATGCCGGTTTCTTTGATTTCATTGTTTTGACAAGTGCCTGATTTCACCACACTGCTTCATGTTTTTGTTGCAAGTGAATTACTCTACTTTTAGTTGCAGAGAGAGCTCTCTTGATACATCTGGTAGTTGAGGGAAGGAGAGACTTTCACATACACTGTGGTTGCTTTGTATAGTTTCTTTATTTGAATGAGATTCTGATCTAAAAGTTTCTTTTCATTGAGCCTTGTTATTGATCCTGATAATTGGTTGTTTATCTAATCCTGTTTAATTCAGTGTTATTGTTGATCCAGCTTTGGTATTATTAAATCGGCTTTATTGGTACGGATCCAGGGTTATTATATTTTTTTAAAGAATTGAGACTAAGCTAAGAGTTTTTATTAATGAATCATTGTTGTATTTGTTGTATTGCTCCAATGCTGTTGTTACTGATGAAAGGCTATTTTTATTGATCCAGGTTTTGTAAGTTAAAATCGTTAATTGTGAGGTCACTATCTAAACAGGTTTATTGTCACATTTTAGATATTTTTGTTTAGTGTTCATCAAGCTTTATAATAAACTAGCTGGGCCACCTTTCGATGAAAGGAATGATCGGTGCATTAACATCAATTAAAAGTCATTAGCCTACTGTATTAATTTACACTCTACTGGAATGGAGCAATAAAACGCGATGATGGGCATCAAACGAAAGGATCACAGTCGAATTAAGCACCAAGTAAAAAAAAGAAAACCTGAGACTAGATCTGCATGGGTCGCACACTTAAAATAGAGCTCAGTGTTGCGCGACAATGGGCGATAGTATCGAATGGAAGTAGGACTTGAAATAAACAAACCTGGCGGATTTTCTAAAATTACAGAGACAGAAACGTCGGCCTACAAAAGTGATCAGTGAAACAAAGAAATTTGTTTTTTTGCAGCAAAACTGTCTCAAAACAGAAAAAATGAAGGGCGTCATGATCTGGAGAATATTTTAAAGAATCTTTTGGTGAAAACCGCATGTCGATTGATGCAGCCATTAACTCATTTGCTACGTATTATTTTCGGCTTGTGGACAAATTTTTTTCGGGAGGGCGAATGAGATGATGACTGGTGGGCAGTTAAAAGGTCTTTGGGGCGACAAATTCAAATAAATATCAACATATTATATACCAATATTTTCAGTATGGATTGTAGAATACATCTGTAATGCTCATTTATATATTTTTCAACTTTGGTTCCTGTAGGAGGCGATTATGCAACACAATTTTGATTGGATGCGGATAAAATTTGAAAATAAAAACTTTATAATCTTTGGTGAAACTCAAAAAATATATGCTTGCACCTAGTCAAATGATATATCAAAACAACCATAAATGAATATAGAACTGGAAAATATCGAAAAGTTTGCAATTATTTACATACATTCCATAATATTTGTACATTTGGATCATAACATCTGATATTGAAAAAAAAAAAATTTATAATCTTGAAAAACGATCACAAAGAGATAAAAACCCACTCGTATCTAATATGGAATTATTCAGAATTGCATTTGGAATAAACCTATACATATCTTGAGTTGCATCTTGTGGATAATTTCATCAAAAAGTATTGATTTTGGGGAGAAAAACATATTTTGACAACTTAGATCTAGATCTAGACCTTGATCTGGCACTCAAAAATATTGATTTCTAAATAACAGTGCATTGTCAATATGAGTCCAATCGTATCAATATTATAAAAAAAGAGTCCTACACTTCTTTAGTGGGTAAAAGAGTGATAGATTTTGTTGTGTAAAATTACTAAGACTGGTGTCCGGACTATAATTTTGGCATCGCGATAAAACAAAGTCGAATAAACTACGAAATCGCGTTTCAAAACTGAATCTAAACTTCCGATTTTCAGTGGAAATGCTTGACCCGGAAGTCAACATTATATTATGACCTTTATTTTAACATGGATATGCGAATTGGAATAGAATCTAAGCTAAAATTGAAGATCGGTTCTCGAGCCGCTGTGGGCGGCTTAGCGTACTGACGACACATTAGCTGCGCCGCCCCCCACGGCTCAGCGTAGCGAATGAGTTAAAAAGTCTTTTGAATAGCAAAATTCGGCCACCACAAATAGATAATAGATTCAGGACATATACCATTTTGTTTGAATATGTGAGGCATTGTGGTGAAATCAGGAGCTTGTCAAAATAATGAAATCTAAGAATTTGGCAATTTTCTTTCATTTTTTGGTTTTATTTTTGGATCAACACCTTTCATGTCCACTTGAGAATACATTCATGTCTGGATTTTGCTGAAAAGCGTTGATCAAAGGCACAAAAAAAAAATGTCCAGTTTCCAAGGACATTACAGCTTTGGAAGTCACCAAACTTTGGCGGTCATTTTCTATTTTATTTTACCTCAGACATCAGGCGACACCCACCTCCTTCAATCACAAATATCTTGACTTCTCTTCATCAAAAGCAAGGCAAATGAACAGGCTTTAAGATTACACAATAACTCCATATGTCCAAAAATAGACAAAACTTGAATGGTCTGAAATGTAAACAACTCTGTTTGGTAAAACGGAGTAAAAACAGTAACACATATGATTAAATTGTGTTTGACAGATCTTCAAGCAGCAAGGCAACTGGGTCATCAAGATTGGTGATAACATGATACCATATCACAAAGACTTCAAATTCTACCTGACTTCCAAGCTGCCAAACCCTCACTATACTCCTGAGGTGTCCACTAAAGTCACTTTAATCAACTTCACTCTCTCCCCAAGGTGAGCTGGGTTTGGTATCATAACCTACAATGTGGAATTTGCTGTGAAAGTTTAGTAGGAGATCCATATAGTTCTTCATCCTCTGACTATTTTGTACTATCGTGTTAAACACTTGTTTCTTCCTACCCTCTGAAGACAGAGATTTTATGTAATATCTGTCTGCCCCGCTCAATATAAGTCGTAAGACGCACTATGCTATTATCAGCTACGAGGCTCGAAAGGCAAAAAAGTGACTTTCCATGAAATTTTTGTTTTTTGGAAATATTGAAAGTTTGATGTCTTCTGTTTGTTTATGGTTTGTTGTGAGCTTGGGTGACGAGATAAAGGAATTAGGACCTTGCTAGTGTGTAGCTGTGATGTTATTTTTAGTACCATTACCTCATGGCCACCTTTGCCTCAACCAAAGATTCTCCAGTAGTGGAAAATCTTTGCTCCAACGTTCTTCATTAGCAACTATTTTTAGATTTTGACCCCTTTTCGAGCATGAATGGTCTGAAATGTAAACAAGACTGATTGGTAAAACGGAGTACTAACAGTAACTTATAGTTCACTTCAAGCTTGTTTACGTAAACAGCTGACTGTGTGGGCGTGCTCTGCTAGCTGCTATCATCTGTTAATCTTTCACTTTTACTCTTGGATTGATTTTAAAATTTCCTTTTTATTGTGTTTTAGAGCTTTTAAAAGATTAATTAACCTTCGTCTAGATCTCTCAGAGTGGACTCCTTACCAAGAGGCCACCGAGGCGGTCTATGTGCATGTGTGTGTTGGTGTGTGTATGTGTGTGTGCGTGTGTTTGCTCTCGTGTGTTTATGGTGCTTTTGCAACTTATAATCAGGTAGCGTAAACACGGCACGTAAGCCAACTCGCGGCCTTCCGAGCGCTTGGTTTTGGTGAAATGGGCTAATTCAGATCTGTGTTTCTTTGCTCTTTTGCTATAAAATGCCAAATGCTGAACACTTTGAAATAGTTCAGATTTTCATCGTTACAATAGTGTAAGTTGTATGTATATCCGGGTATTTGGAGCTGGAGAATGGCCGTGGAAAGGGAAGCCCCTCGCTGTCGGAATGCGAGGTCCCCCAGTTCAAAATTGACACCTATGCATTTGAATGCTTTGCAGAATGATTGTGATTAAATACTGTGTTATCATTGGTGGAGAACTATACAGCTTTAAGCGTGGTTTCCCGTGGTTATTATTTTTAGCCTTTGGCGTTTAGATAGAAAACCTTGAAAAAAAGGGGTCTAAGTTTTCAAAGATCGTTTTTAACACGAAATGTGTAAAATACCGGCTAAAAAAGTTCTTTTTATTTTGGAATAAAGTCATCGGCTTGGAATTATTTTGCATGAATCCTTCTGCAAAACTACCGGGAGCACTCAGTATACTGTAGTATTGAGCCGGCTCGCTCGCCGCGAAGGCTGGTGCGACGCCGACCGAGACACCGCTCGGTGTTTTTATTGAAATAACGACAGATCATTGTGTTTGAGGCTATAAAATACTGATTTGTAATTCTTGAAAAATATTAGGCTTCATTTTTATGTTACAGTGATTGTACTTTTTTAATGTAGAGATGTTTGGTGCACTTGGAACTCTTTTACTATCTGTCAAACATGGGGTTGCAGCCAGTTAACGACTACAGAAATATTTTATTATTATGTTAAATTGAAACAGCTGCCATTCTCTTAAACATTGACGGAGAGGTAAAAGTATGGTAACAACATTCTCAGGAGACATAGGCCTTTTCATATGAAACAGATGAATTTGACATACAGCTATTTTGAAAATTTAATGTCTGGTACCTAGTATCATGCTAATATTTTGTTGCATTTGACGTGAAGTCCATTCTCGTTAAAATTTTGTTTGGTCTGGGGGGGGTTTTTCCACAGCGAATGAATAGTTTTCTACTTTCGTATATGACCTTGTAGTGGCATATCCAAGATAACTGCTAAATGTCAAGTGTCTATCTCTATTCTTAGACCCTTATTGCTATGAAAACATGTTGCTCAACTTCGGAGGCCATTTTCTCATTTTTGTGTTTCCTCACCTCGCACAATTAAAAGTTCTGTATTTTCATCAGATATTGTCTTATTTACTTCATTCTTGTTTTAAATTGTTGGGAAAATGTGATAGTTTTTGAAAATATAGTTACTTCAGTTTTGAAATTTCCTGCATATGACTGATATTGACTGGCTGGGACACATAATATGCTTATGGTCATTTTTGTGAGCTCATTTTATCATAAGATTTTCTGTTGCAAGGGACCATTCCTTGACCCCTAATAATTTATAGGCCTACCAATAAATGACTAATATTGAAACAGCTACAAAAAATTTTTAAAAGATATTTTACAAGTAACATGCTATTTAAACTCAAAACTCAAAGGCCTTGTTTTCTTGTGGACTGAAAAGACTGTTGGTTAAGTTAAATCATGGGTGCCATTTTTTCTATTATTGCCGTTGTTATCACATGTCTTCAGTTCTTTCCTAGTTTGTTCAGAATTATTGAAATGGGAAAATATTAAACAGGATTTTAACCAAGTGCATGTCTGGGTGTATACTATCTTTTCTTTTCTTTCATGAAACACACCCTTCAGTATGTGGGTGTTAATCAGATTTTGTGTTGTAGACTTCAGTGTCTTGTAAATATGATGACTTCTTGTTGTGATTCTAACCTGTCATAAGTGTTTCCCATATTATAGAAAGAATGTTTTTCTTTTTTCTTAATTTCCCAGTGATCCATTATCTTTTGTGATGTATGGAATGTGGCTTCTGACCTCTTCAGGGGGTGAGTGGTTGGCTGGTGTTCTGGTTCTGGTTTTCTCCTTCTTTTGCGGAAACATCTATCCTCCTAATCTGTGCCCCTTCTTCGCTTTGTACATTACTCTCAAGTAACACCTCAAGTAAACATCACTTGTAGACATATATTTGTGTTGTATGTGTCGTAAAACTTTAACAAAAACTATTTACTAAACTCCTCAGTGGACTACAGGATCAGCTGCTGGGGATCGTGGTTGCGGAGGAGAGACCTGACCTGGAAGACTCCAAGAACCAGCTGATCATCAGCAATGCCCAGATGAAGCAGGAGCTGAAGGAGATTGAGGACAAAATTCTGTACCTTCTGAGTGTCTCAGAGGGCAGTCCAGTGGACGACCTTGAGCTCATTGACACTCTTGATGCCTCAAAAACTACATCGCAGGAAATACAGGTGATGTGCTGTGGTCTGTGTGACTGCTGATAGGGTTAGGTTTTATGTAGTACTTGTGCATTCACCCCCTTTTCAGTTACGATCTTTCCCCCAAGTGGATGTGGTAACAAATGGACTCACTCAGTGCAACCCAGGGAAAGTGCCATTCATTCAGTGCAGCGTCAGCATCCTCCAATACAATATTGAAAATGCTTCACTGGGGTTAGGGTCACAAGTTTCACCAAACTTGTTCATAATGATATGCTGCACCAGGCAGAGTCAAGAATGTGATTCTATTTCCTTTGTTTAGGAGAGATTGGGTTTATAATCTGGTATCATGACCATCCTTTCTCAAAATACTCCCGCTAAGTGCTGCTGTTGTTTTTATGTATGAATCATGAAAGAGAACTCTGGATTTATAGTAACTGTCTAAGATAGTTCTATCTTTTGCTCTTTACGTGTCTGTTGGCTTCTCTCTTTGTCTCTGTCTCTTTCTCTCTCTCTCTCTCTCTCTCTCTCTCTCTCTCTCTCTCTCTCTCTCTCTCTGTCTGTCCCTCTCTGTCTATCTCTCTGTCTCTCTTTCTCTCTCTGTCTATCTCTCTGTCTCTCTTTCTCTCTCTGTCTCTGACTCTCTCTCTCTGTCTTTGTCTGTCTCTGTCTCTGTCTCTGTCTCTGTCTCTCTCTCTCTCTCTCTTTCTCTCTCTCTCTCTCTTTCTCTCTCTCTCTCTCTCTCTCTCTCTCTCTCTCTCTATCTCTCTCTTTCTCTCTCTCTCTCTCTCTTTCTCTCTCTCTCTCTCTCTCTCTCTCTCTCTCTCTCTCTCTCTCTCTCTCTCCGTGTGTCTGTCTGTAGTAAATTATTCCTGATTCTTAAGAACAGCTATACTGCACAAACTACAGACCTGTTTCGTTTGTTTGCTTTTTATATATTGAGAAGACTTTAAAAAGTTGGAAATTTATCAGTTTAAAAAAACAGAAAACTAAAAATTCAAAATTGGACAAGTATCTGAAATTTTTTTTTTGTCTTTCAAGTGCTCTGAATGGTAGAGCTTACTACAGCCAAAAATAGTCTTTCTCCTGTCCTTTTTGTCTCGAGTGGGTAAAGACACCTACTTTAGTTCTAATGAAGGTTTTTGCTGTGTTACAAAATTCACACGATTTGTAATAGTGATCACCCCCTACCCCCCCCCCCCCCCCTCTTCCCAACCAGGCCAAAGTGAGAGCAGCAGAAGTGACTGAGAAGTCCATCGATGAGACTCGCAGTCAGTACATCCCTGTGGCTCTCAACTCGCAGATTCTTTTCTTCTGCATGGCAGATATGGCCAAAATAGACCCCATGTACCAGTACTCTCTTGAGTGGTTCATCAAGATTTTCCTCTTGTCCATTTCTCAGGCGGAAAGAGCAGGTACTTTTTTTTTATGTTAACGAGACTGTAAATGCTTATTCCATCATAGACACAACTTAGATAATTGAGTGGGTGGGCTGCTTCGACTATGTTAGGGTCAACGCCGGCTGAAATGGGATTCATATTCTAGCAGAACAATGGCGATCATTACTAGAATAAATTTTTCCCCATAAAGGAATCGGCTCAATTGTAGATCTTCAGCACTCTGCTACATTATGGGTTGCATGTGTTTGCACTTTCCACTCTGGAAAGGTTAGTTATAAGACTGGAAACATTAGATTTCAGTGTCTCCAAAAGAATGAAAAGCTAAACAAAACTTTCCAAACAATCTAGTTTAAGCTTCTTCCCATTGAAATTCACTTACACCACAGTCCACTTAGTTTAGTGGGACTTCCCTCTTGTGGTTTATGCTCAGCTGAATTACATGTGTCACGATGCAGTGGAATTAGGCGATAATCAATTTTTGGGCATGTGGAGTTATTGGTACCATACTGGTTTGTTACGTCACGGATAATGATGCATAAATCTTCTCTTATAACCCTTGTACTCATAATTTTTTTAAAGCTAGTAAGATGATGTGCAGGCAGTAGTTTAAGACCTGCTCTGCCTTTGCAGTTATTTACTAGTAAAAGCAATAAATAATTTTTCTGATATTCTATTTTGCAGAAAGTTTGCCAGAGAGAGTTGACAACATCAATGTTTGTTTTACGTACAGCCTGTTTGTGAACGTATGTCGGAGTCTGTTTGAGAAGCACAAGCTGCTTTTCGGTCTGCTTATGTGTGTACGCATTGAAATGCAGAAAGGATTGCTAAACATGGTAATGGCTTTCTTAAACTCTATTTTCTAATGCTTTTTCTGCAGACTGATTTCTTCTTGACGTATTGGCTTTATTTAATGCCTCTAGCCTTTGATTTTCCGTTTCAAAATATCTATATATGCAGGTTATTTACCCCAGTTACCCTGACACAAAGTAATTCATAGCATTGCTATTTTCTGTGAATTTCTATTTGCTTTCCATGACCTTACCGGCTGATAAGTGGCAAATGAATTGTGGAATAAGAGATAACTTTAAAACTTTTTCCGTCAGAAGTATGGTTTGTAAGTCTATAACTTTACTAGGGGCTGAGTTATTCATATTAGAGTAATGCATATCTCATACAATCAAAAAGTGGGTAGCAGCTTCGTTCATGAAGAAGGGAAAGTCAACTTTGAGGCTTGTCCCATAGCGGCAATTTCTACAGGTAGATGGGGCAGGCCTCCTTTTTCCTTCCCCCGGCTATTGTTATTGTCCGCGTGTACTGCTTATTCCAAGCATCAAATCACCTTTATTCTATTGACATTTTTCTTTGACTCTAACAACAAACAAATTATTCCTGGATAACATGGCCTCCCCAGGAAGAGTGGCACTGGCTGATAGCAGGGGGTGCAGATATCCCGTATACTGTTCAAAATCCTGCTTCATCATGGCTGTCTGAGAGAGCGTGGAATGATATTCTCACCCTGCCAGCGCTGCCAAAGTTTGCTGACTTTGCCAAAGACTTCAAGAATCACCTTAAAAGCTACAAAGACTTCTTTGACAGTATTGATCCACAGGAGTAAGTTGAGTGTGCAAGTTATGTAGCTTTTAACCCCTTACTAAATGAAGAATAAATTGTTTTGAAGGTGTAGCTCTTTACCCCACACTGGAACTGCAGGATTAAATCTATTATTCGAGAAAGGTCACATAAAAATCAAGCCCTTCTGAGATTTGAGTTCTGTATGCAGTTTTAATTAATGGTGCCACAGTTTCAGGCTTGCTGCATTTAACTTTGACAATAGCTCATTATTTCTCATTGAAATGGTCTTTACGACTTATTTAGAAAAAAACGTGAAAATACTATACTATTGTCAAACATTAACAATTAATGAGAGGCTGTGCTACTTTTGTGCTAAAAATATATATCTCAAAGAGTCTTGGTTACATTTTCCTTTCCCTGATGTTCTCTGAATAATGCAAATGGTTGGGTGGTGCTACCATGGGGTCATGATTACTTCTTTTCTTTCCCTTGTTTTGCCTTTCATTATAATTTGTACCCCACATAATGATCGTTTTAGAAGAGCAAACCCTTTTTATTTCAGCCTGAATGAAAAATTCGCTCAGAATAAAGTTGGGGCACTGTTTGATTCTTTGAAAAAATTACAGATTTGTGTTCATACCTCCAGCATGCCCTTGCCTGGCAAATGGGGAGAGGAGCTGGATGACTTCCAAGCCATCCTGGTGTTGAAGGCTCTGCGTCCTGACAAAGTTACCAACGCCATGCAAAAGTTTGTGGCCAGCAAAATGGGGCAGAAGTTCATCGAGCCTCAGACGAGTGATCTGGCCATGGTGTTCAAAGATTCCAATGTGTCATCGCCACTGGTCTTTGTCCTGTCTACGGGCACAGATCCTGCCAAGTCCCTCAATGAGTTTGCAGAGACTATGAAATTTTCCAAGAGATTGCATTCAATATCTCTTGGCCAAGGCCAGGTGAGATAACTGCAATGATTTCTTTGGCTTAATATATTTTGCTTTATTTTCTGATCTTATCTTTAATGTCTCTCATTTATATAAAAAATTTACATAGTGACAATGATACCAGTAAAATGACTTTAGGCATTCTTTTTTAGAACGGAGGTCATGTATAAAGTAAGAAGATAAGTAAAACTTGTGATAAAATTGTTCGTTTCTGGAAAAGAAATTGTTATTTAAATATATGGAATAATAGGTAGTTCCAATTTAGCAGCAGTGCATTAAAAAGAAGAGATGGTGTGTAACTAAATTGTTAGCGATCATAATGGACAACTGTGGAAGGGGGCTGCCGTTCCAGTGATTTCCCATGGTATAGTCTTGTGTAAATGCCAGCTCATTAGTAAGATGCTCTTCATCTGTATGAAACTTCCATGTGTTCAGGGTCCACGTGCGGAGTTTCTGATGAAAGCGGCCATGGAAAGTGGAGGCTGGGTCTTCTTCCAGAACTGTCACCTGGCACCCAGCTGGATGCCCACGCTGGAGCGGCTGGTGGAGCAGATCAACCCAGACATGGTGATGATAAGCATGGGTTTCGTTGCTCACTGATAGTTGGCATTGGTTACAATCTTGAACCACACATATACAAGTTTGTGGGTTGAATTTGTTTGTGGTGAGAATCTTTTTTTTTTTTTTTTTGTCGTTCTTGGAATATTCCTCGTAGCCGTGGAAGACCTTGAAGATCTGCTTTTGAAGTTGCCTTTTGCCTTTACTGTATCTATTACGGTTTCGAAAAAAAAAGAATATAGCTTCAGAGTTAGAAACTTGTCCAGAATCATTGAGGATTTTAAAATTGTGAGACATCGTGGTGAAATGAGACACTCGTCAAAATAATAAAAACAAAGAAACCAGCATTTTCAGGCAGTTGGGACGTTTTTTTTTCTAAATTGTTTCTTTTTTTCGCTTAGCGTCTTTTATGTTCATTTAAAAACAAATTCTTTTGCAGATTTTAATGAAAAACTTTAAAAGACATAAAAAATGCCAATTTATTTTCAGTTTCCATGGACACTACACCTTTTGGAAGTCACCAAACTTTGGCAGCCGTTTTCTGAGCTTATTTTACCTCTGACACCAAGCGACCACACCTCCTTCAATCTATGATATCTCAACTTTTATTCAAGCTTGATAACAAATTTTTTGCCAAAAGCAAGGACAATTAACAAAAATTAGGATTATACCAATAACTTCATGTATCCCCAAAACTTGATGACTGCATGATTCCATCAAATGGTGACACAAATGTTTTGATTTCTGTAAGGTTATGTTTCTTGCATAGCTGGCAAGTTATGGCTGTCTGTCTGGTCTGTTTATTTTCATATTACAGTAGATTATGTTTCTGAAATAGTGCAAGGTCTTGTTTAGTATCTACATTGATACAAGCTTGTATAATAACCTAATTTGATTTTTTAAGACATAAAGTCTTTCTGAGATTGCAGGAAAGGTATCTTGTTGTGAAAATTATATACACATAGCATCTAAGGTAACACCCTCAAAAAAAAAGAAAAATGCTCCAAAATAAAAAAGATTATCTTGTATGCAGGAAAGAGTTGTATGGAATGATGGAATGTACTTTCCTATTCCTCAAACTCTTGAAAAAGTTAAGCTCATTATTTTCTTTCCTTTTGCTTTAGTGTTAATAGGAGTTTTACAGCTTTTGCTACAAATAAGGCATTTATGTTCCGAACATTTGAGGTATTACAAGAGAGTTACGAACACAAAAAAAGGAGGAGGAGAGATCAGGATGATTGATTCTTTTGCAGGAAAGAAGGAGCAAACTATACCAAAGCACCCGCCAACTGCCCGTTTTCTTTTTACTTTATTTGGTCTTTCTGTGATGTCCACTTTCTTCAGTTCTTTCAAGACAGATGGGATTAACATGATCAGTTTTGTGCCAATAAACAAAATTAATATTTTTGCTCCAACTTCTTGAATTAAAAGGTTGACTTGAACCTCTTTCAAAAGGGTTTTCACTAGTCTTAGTTTTTATGCTTTGGGTCAGAGAGCACAAAGGCATAGGTTGCTAGTGTAACAACACCAACAATAGCAATAGCAACAACAACAACAGAACATCAACTAAAGCCTTTTCTATTTTATCCAGGTGAGCAAAGATTTCCGCCTGTGGCTGACCAGCATGCCCAGTGCCTCTTTCCCTGTGTTCATCCTACAGAACAGCTCCAAGATGACTGTGGAGCCTCCCAAGGGCATAAAGGCCAACTTGCTGAGGTCCTATATGGGTTTCAGTGACAAGTTTTTCAAGCAATGTCCTGGAAAGGTAACTTTGTCCTGTGGGTTAAGTTAGCCCTTTCCAGACCAAAAAACATTCTGGTACCCAACATACTTGTTCACTTACGGTACTGAAATCAGGGGATGATAGTCTTTATGATATGCGAGTTAAAGGGGAAATTCTTACTACCCATTGAACTTTCCTTGATAATTAATATTTCATAATGACTATAAAATCAAGTAATTCTATGAAGTAATTTTCTGATTTTGTAGTTTTGCATTGCAGCAGAAACACACAAAGAGTCATCCACTGAGCTGTTGAAAGACTAGCGCATGGATTTGCTTGGATTTGTTCAGTTTTCTACTCTTTCTTCTCCTATCTCATACATCTTTGCATGTGTCCACCTATCTTTCTACTTTGTCCTTTTATCTCTTTTACTGTATGTCTCGATGTTACAATCTCTTTTTTTTTTCTGTCTCTCTCAGCCTTTGCTCTTTCCAACTATTTATGAATGGAGATATCAAAATTGACACTTGCTGTCTCTCAGGTGAAGATCTTCAAGCATCTGCTCCTCTCCATTTGTCTGTTCCATGGCGTGGTGCTGGAACGCCGTAAATTTGGAGCTCTGGGATTCAATATACCGTATGAGTTCACAGATGGTGATCTACGAATCTGTATTGATCAGCTTAGTATGTTCTTGCAGGAGTATAATGACATTCCTTTCAAGGCAAGATTACTTGGTTGTATGTATATGATGTATGTCGTTTTGTCAATTTGTTATTGATTTCTTTGTTCCCTGCTTCCGTTCTTGTCCTTGCTGATTACTGCTTTGTTTATTGATGTTGGTTTTTGTGTTCAGTGCTCATTTTGTCCAGTGAGGGACAGGCATCTTTGGAAATCTTTTATCATTTGAGCTTGAAAAAAAAAGTTTACAAGCAGAATATATTCCTGCTGTTATTGCTGAAAAGCATGAATTCTTTTAACCGCTGCTTCCTTTGTTCTTTTGTTGCTTGCCTGTAATACATTTCTTTGGGTTAAATTGATTTGTATAATTGACATACTGAATTTTCTGATGAATTTGCAGCCATTGTACAGTTCTTTCCATTAGTGTAGGATATGTCTAATGTCTTTTAAAAAATAAGAGTTTTGTTAGCATAAATACTGGCTTATGGATCAGTATAGAATGTATTTTTTCTCGTAGCAAGTATATAAAACTATCCCTGGGAACAAAGAGAGAAGTCTTTTTCTGTGTTGGTTTGAAATTCAAAAGCAAAGCAAGTGTGAAAAGAATGCAAAATGTTTATGATGTGCTTCAAGAACTATCCGTATTGTAATTTTGACCACTACTTCATGGATGCATTTTATTTCTAAGTTTTGCAACTCAGAATTTGTTTCTTAACAGGTGCTGATCTACACAGCTGGGCATATCAATTATGGAGGCCGTGTAACTGATGACTGGGATCGCAGGTGTCTCATGAACATTCTGACAGACTTTTACTGTATGGAGGCAGTTAGTACCTCATTCACATACTCCCCGTCAGGAATCTATAGACAGCTGTCGTCAGATTCTGACTTACAGGTGAGTGAATTTAATCTTTTTATGTTAGGTACATCACTGTGCTTATTATGCTATAACTGAAAGCAGTTACTTTCTTTGAGTTTGAGGAGTCCTCTTAGCTCATTCTGTTCCTGAAATATTAAGTAGATTTCATTATGTTAATGTTCATATTGATGATGAATCAGAGGACCATTCACTGCTATCCACAATTAATTTCATTTTTCTTTTTAAAAAAAACGAGAATGCTAACTTGGTGACAGACTATTGCCGAAGTTGTACCAATCATTCTTGCAGATTCTTCATACATCTGTGTCTTTAGCAATATAAAAATGTTATAACCCTGCTGACACTATGAATAGAGTTCTCTATGCAAAGAATTTTACTAAGAGAGAAGCACTGCAGTTGTTGATCTACGAGAGCCATTCATGGAAGGGGAGCACATCATTGGAAGGCTAGATGTACTTTTCTCCCTTGACCCAAGATGACAATGGAATTTTACTTGTTTATATTTATAAAGACTTTGTTAAACATTGATATAGTCCAACTTAAAAACCACATCTGATTAAAATCACGGTCTTTTCTTTATCGTGATAATTTTTCCCGGTGTTAGTAATGTGCAACAATGTTGATTCACTTTACTCTTTGTCTTTTCACTGTATATAGTTCCTTTGCACTGTAGTCAGTCTCCGCTGTCAAAAAACAGCGCATCTACCAGTGACCAAATTAGTGTCAGCAGGGTCAAGTTGTTAACTTAACAGAAGAAAGCAATATTTATAATATGTTGTGATAAAATAATGTCCACATTCTACGTTTTTTCATTATCCGTCAGACTCACCTCGATTACATCCGAGGCTTGCCGATTAACGACACACCGGAGATCTTTGGCTTGCATGACAATGCAAACATCACGTTTGCACAGAATGAGACAGCCCTCATGTTGGGCTGTCTAGTAGCACTCCAACCAAAGACAGCGTCTGGGGGTGGACTCTCCCGAGAAGAGGTTACTCAATTTAGAAATGCAATGTCTCTCTTTGCAATGTTGAGATTAATATATTGGGTACTGTTTTTGTTGAAATCTGTTAATCAAACTCAGATTCGTCTGTTTTAAGGTAAAAATAAAACCTGCATGATTTAGGGAGTGTCTTTCTTCAGAATGGTGTAGTTTTAGATGCAGAGAGGTTCTTTTAGGATTCTATCCCACCACACTTGTATTCTCTTGACTACCTGTTTTTATATATACAAAAAAGATATTACATGGATGCCTATTTCTGCAATACCCTTTAACTTTTGCTTCTCCGCAAGATTGAATTGTTCGAGTCATACAAATTGGGAACTGTTAGTATAAGACACTAATAAAAATATGTGTATAATTGTAAATTTTACTGACTTCATTTATGACAAACTCACTCAGCTTAGTCACCCCACAAATGAAACAATGGTAGGCCTGTCTCCACAATAGCCCAGTTGTTTCACATGTATTACACTTTAGAGGCTGATAATTACCTCACTATCAACACCACTTTCAATTTTCTATTTGTTGTAAGGAGTAGGCCTATATATTAATATCTTTTGTCCTGCATGTTTCAAGGGGAAGTAGATAACTTAAAAAGAATGATCAAAGTGCAGTTTTGAAATAACCCCTCATAAACTCATGTGGCTGTAAGAAAAAGTTGAAGGCTCAATGACTTTAAATTTTTGCATGTAAGTCATAGCTGAGTGAGGGAAAGATGCTCATATTGTCTAGTCACCCCCCCCCCCCCCAAACCCCAACAGTGAGTTTTATTCTCCTATTTTTTTCAGGTGATAGAGCATGCTTCCAAAAATATTTTAGAGAAAGTTCCAAATACTGTGGGCCTGGATGTAGTGATGAAAAAATATCCAGTGCTGTACGAGCAGTCGATGAACACTGTTTTGGCACAGGAGGTCATCAGGTACTTGTGTGTGAGCTAGCTGTTATTCAGCTGGTGTTTTTAAGTATCCTTTAAAAGCTAAGGTATGTTATTCTGATCAGCTGAATTTCTAGTACACGTGGCACAGGTCTTTTTTATAATGTGGCTTTACTTTAGTTTTAGAGTTAAGCAAATTAAACTCATTCACTACAATAAAGCTCACTGATTTGCTCTGCATCTTCCTCTTCACCACAAGCCGTATTATTCGTTTTATTGTAAGCCTCTAATATTATTATACAGTCCGTGCCGGCTTTAAGCATGCCGGCCTTAAGCACGTTTTGGACTCAAGCACGCTAAACGGCTCTTACCGAATTTTCGCTATATAAATTACACGCCTATAAGCACGGTAACTTCGGCTTCAAGCACGCTTCATTTACAAGACAGTCAATATTTTCATGATGACCTATCGAAGTTCGAACACAGTTTACACCACAGCAGTGGAGTGTGTCAAGAGAAACACAAAGAACGCAAGTGATGGACACACACACTCACACGGGCAGAGAGGAAGGCAGAGAGAAGCACACAGCCGTGCACGCGGACATAGGATCTAGCCTAGGCCTAGGGCAAAGCTACACACAACCAAAAAAACAAAACAAAGAGAGTCGGGGAGACGAGAAAGGGAGGCTGGCTGCAATTTCACCTTTGACCCTTGCTATCCATTAATCCTGATGGTGTATCACGCGCGAGGTGGGATGAAGGCGGTGGTACATGTATGAGTGGCACAGCGGGCAGTGGTACGCACAGGCAGTGTGTTACAATAGGCCTAGTGTGCTGTATCGTGACTGGCCGTCTAAATTAAGTTTTCATTTCCCATTCGACCACAAAACAAAAACAAACAAGCGAACAAAAACTACCATGGCGGGTGTCTAAATAACAGTGCGGGACCGCTATAGGCCTACTTACAAACAAAGGGTAATAGCACGGGGAATTTTCTACATGAAAATCTCTGGATTATGTCTACTTCGCACTTAAGCACGCTTCGGCTTTAAGCACGTTTAAGCTTTCTCCCGATGACCGTGCTTAAAGCCGGCATGAACTGTACCTATTAATTCCTGTCCAGATTTTAAAAATGATATCCATACTTTGATCCACCTATTGTTTTTTTTAAATTCTTGTTTTAGCTTCCTTTCTTTTGATATATAGGGGCCTACTGTGTTGTACTATTAGGTACCGTAAATGTGCACTAAACAGGTACCTACTGGTAGGAAAAATATGTTCAGGTGGGTAGAAAATTGCACAGTCAACGAGTTAACCCTTTGAGCCCTTGCCATTGGTGCACTGGTGATGCATAAAATTGCTTGTGTGCCTAGCCAGTGGTACAGAGGTGAGCGAGACCTTATCCCCAAAGTGGCCCACCTGAGACAAACGCATACAGAAAACAGCGTTTACTAAAGATGTTATTGATTATTTTGAAGATCTTTCTGAATTGGCTGCTGGTAATGACAAGGACTACCCGGAGTGGAATATGGAATATGATTCTGATGATCATATGAATGTTAGTTATATATATATATCGATCAGGAGCTCAAGCGAGTCGCATGGTAGCCTCAGGAGGTCAGGGCTCAAAGGGTTAAATAAAATCGTGAAGGTTTGTAGCTCTTTGAATGAATGGGTCACGTGATTCCATTCTTTTCTTGCTTTGCTGACCTTCTCATTTTAATTCTCTGTCCTAGCTCATTGAAGTAATCTAGCATTGTGGTAATGGGGATTAATTTTATGTAACATTGATGTATCAGTTCTGTGATGTCTGTAATCTAGTGGTTAGGCTATTGAACTCATAATCGTGAAGTTGCATAATTTATTTGTTTTTTAAAATTTAGATTGTGTCTAACAGGGTCCTACATCAAGCCAAATTTAAGTATGAGGAAAGCATTCTGCCTTATGGTTTCATGATTTTAATTTTATTCTGCATAATTTTCATATTTGCCTCAGGCTGTACAGAGTGTACAAAGTGTTCAAGCAAGCCTATGTTGTCAATTGTTTTATTACACAAAGTTACAAGGCCTGAAAAAGGGTGTTTTTTACTTTGTTCTCTTTCAACTCATCAGATACAACCGCCTTCTGGTTGTGATGAAGCGATCGCTGAAAGATTTACTGAAGGCGCTGAAAGGTCTTGTGGTCATGTCCCAGACCCTTGAGGAAATGTCCAACAGTCTATTTATCAATGCTGTGCCAGGCATGTGGGCAGCAAAGGTGAGAATGGTCCATCTCATTATTTTATGACAGCAGTTTTTCAGTGAAAAGTAAAACAAAGATATATGAAAAGGATTAATTATTTACTCGTGCAGAGATTTGGCCTTCTGTTTGGTGGGTATACAGGGTGTGCGCAACAAATTATTTTTGTCTGAGCGTACGAATGTGCAAATCTGGCAGGTTCGGCACTTTGATAAATGTCAGGAATGCTTTTCACTATAAAAATAAAGGGTAACAGAGACAGAGGTAGTTTAATGATGAGTCAAAATTGTTTGAGACAGTTCCCCCTTGTTGAGGAGAAAAGTAGTTGTCTTAGACAAATGAATTTCTTGAACAGTGTCATTGTATCATAGAAAACATGCAAGAGGGAAAATGAGAAGTGGTAATTTGTACAGGTGATTATCTTGGACAGGTGACCATTAGGGCAAGTTCGACTGAATTTATTTAATAAAGAACTTAATTATATGAGTAACTCAAAAGACCGGACTAAGAAACGCTTTTTTTTTAAGTGCATACAGGCAGAGACATGAATGGCGAACCATGATTGCTTTTGTCTGTTTCAGATTTGACACTTACAGAAGAGTCTTTCCATCACATGTCAGCATGTCATTTTGTTTATAACAAGTAGAAGTAAGCCAGTGAAAGTGGACAATATTAAGTGACATAGGCATACTGGCAGGCCATGATGTGAAAAAATCAAACCTAAAAGGAGCAGGATGAGAGATTTTCCGCTACTTAGCTTGTAATTTTTTGTCCCACCTGTAAGTTGTATGTTGAATCTAATTGAACACTAAAAGGAAGATTTTATTAATTAATGTTAAGTTCTCCTCCTGTTTATGAATAATGATACAGCTGTCCAAAGCAAGCCAAGGTATGCTGTTGGCTCATTTGGATTTTTTATGCAGATGATCCTATAGTTCGAACCCCTAAGGTGTTCTTGAGCTTTGGTTGTTTGTGAGTTTTTACAGATCCAGTACTTGAACTTATCAGAGATTTTTACATTGAATGGAAGGTCTTGTCACTTAGATGGCTGTACCGTATGACTTTTATTTTTAAAAACCTAAAAAAAATTTTTTTTTTAAAGTCTGCTATGAAAGATGGACGTTTGGATAAAACTAAGTTTTTCCTAATGGAGAAGGTTCTGTACTTGAGCAGTAGATATCTAGATAATCACTTTACTACATGTTGTTTGTCTGAGTTCCTGGCTAACAAATTTCTTTTCTTGTGTAGGGTCACATTTCCCAAAAAAATTTTGTAGCCGCGTTATTTGTGTAATAAATTAAAGGAATTTGTTCTGGGTCTCCTGTCTATTCCTCCAGGCTTACCCCTCACTAAAACCTTTAGCAGCATGGATCACAGACTTGATTGAGAGAATGAATTTTATCACCAAATGGGTGGATCATGGAATCCCAGATGTAGGTATTCAATATGACGGTTGCATTGATTTTGTAAATTGTTTTTGTTGTGTCCAGAGATTTTAACTTGAAACAATAAAAGTTTTTTTAAATGTATAATATAGGACAGGTTGTGGGGCCTCTCGGTTACAAAAATGAATTACTTGTAATCGGGCAATATCCCTGTAGACTGATCAACATCCTAAAGTAGCCTCATCTGCGTCTTGGGTCTTAGGAAAAAAGTAGTTCACTTTTGCAATCAATCTCTAGCTTCTATAAGATATGATTTTTCAACCTTGGCATTAGCATTTGATTGGGAGAGAGGAGTTCTCTAAGAAGAGATAATTTTACATTATTAGTACTATGAAAAATAGGTAGTGAAATCAGGTAGCCTTTGAGCTTTCTGAGCACTCATGTCAGTTTAGAGGAAAACCGTTGGAATCTCCACTCTGACAGTTCATTAACTTGGTATCCATGCATTCTAATGATCCCATTCAAAAGTCCATTTGTAGTTTGCAGAAATTCAAAACCGCACCATCTTGTTTTCTTGCCACAGATCTTTTGGATTTCCGGATTTTTCTTCCCACAAGCATTTTTGACAGGCACACTGCAGAATTTTGCCCGAAAGAATGTCATCTCTATTGACACCATAGGGTTTGAATTTAAAGTGAGTTATTCTTTTTGTATGTTTTAAAATGTTTCTGGGCCAAAAAATGTAATATGAGTTAAAATGTTCAAGTGCTACAGACACAATGCCTTAAATGAAATATGCAGCCAATGGAACTCAAGACTCTTCTTGTGAATCATACACAGTGGTGTCCACTTAAATGATTCCAGTCCTGAAAAAAGGAAACATCCCAATGACAGCGAAAATAAAGTTTTAGAAAGTGTGTTTGGTCAACCCTCTATGGCTGTGAAGCTGAACAATTACCAAAGATGATGAAATCAAACTTGAAGCAATGGACGTGGTTGTTTTTTTTAGGAGAACAGACATAAAGGCCTTGAATATCTTGCTCTCACTAGAAAAATAGATGGCAAAAGAGGCAGGGGTAGAAGAAGATTAACTTACTTAGAGAACAGATTTACAACGGGGAAAGATCAGGTCAATGTTATTGGGGTTTTTTCAGAGCATCTGAGTAGAGAAATGAATGGCAAACCATGATCACTAATGTCTGTTTTAGATCTGACACTTCATGATGTTGATGATAGTAGATCTTTTTCTTTTAAAAAAACAAACAAATACAGTCACATGGTAATTTAAATTTTGGTCCTCATGTTTGCATATATTTACTCCTTGTCCTTTTCCTTTCAAGGTGATGAAAGACAAGGAGGTGAAAAAGGCCCCGAAGAAAGGTTGCTTCATCAATGGCCTGTTCCTGGAAGGAGCCGGCTGGCTGCAGAACGAGTGGATGCTGGGAGAGTCCTTGCCCAAGAAACTTTACTCGCCCATGCCCACTATTTGGCTGATACCCAGGGCAGGCCGGGTCAAACCTGATACAGGCATTTACGAGTGTCCTGTCTACAAGACTTTGACCAGAGCAGGTTAGTTTATTTTTAGTTTCAGCAAGCTTTTCACTGCACCTTTAACATGAATTGGTCGTAGAAGTGCTGAAGATTTGACCAGAGCAGGTTAGTTTAGTTTTAGTTTTAGTAAGCTTTTTACAGCACTTTCAACCCTAATTGTTGTCTTAAAAGTGTAGAAGAAAAGTACAAAGAATCATACAGAAAAAAGAAGGATAAAAGATAGATGTTTGATAGGAAAGAAGGAGCAAATCATACTAGAGCACTTTCCGACTACCCACAGGGCAGGTTGGTGTAAGAGTTTTCAGTTTGTGTGTTCAAGTGTGTGTTTGTGCATGTGTGTGTGTGTGTATGTGTGTATGTGCATTCATGATTGCACATGCATTATTTATAATATGAGAGTGTATGTGTGTCAAATCGTTTGTTTCCTGCGTGTGGGGCACAAGATGCTCCGCCCCTTCCCCCCTCCAACACTACCTCTCTTTTCGTTGAGTGGTAGATAGAAGAGATTATGAAGTGTTGTCCGTTTCACCGGCCATTTTTAAGGTAACGATGCTCAGTTTTCATTTGTCGCTTGGCTTCATAGAGGTCTCTTTTGTCATTGGTATCTTTCAAGTTTCCTTTTCCCTTTCCAGGTACTCTGTCAACAACTGGACATTCAACAAATTTTGTGTTTACCGTCGAAATCCCATCAGATAAACCTCAGAAGCACTGGATCAAGCAGGGTGTGGCTTTGATGTGTGCTCTCAACTTTTAAGGAGTTTGATATCACAGATTTGATTATATTTTCATCATGTGTGCATCTGTTCAGTATACTTGGTTTCAATATAGTCGATGACTTTTGTTCTTTTTTATGATTTTCTTTTTCAGCTTTACTTTGGTAGAAGTTACTTTTTTTAAAATTATGCAAAAAATGATTTTTTGTCCTCTCATTTATTTGTCATTTTAGGAGTAAGGATATATGCATATTCACATAAATTATATATCTTAGTCTTTTACCGATATCTGTACCTCTTCCATGAACTTGGCTCAGGATGTGTGCAATAAATATTAATTTGTCGATAACCTCATTGTTGGCTATCACAATGAGTGAAACATGCTGACAAAATGAGTTACTTCTCGTAATCCACAAATGGAGATATTGGCCAAAAATCGACATTAGGGTCAAGTTTGTAGATTTTCTATTGATGCCATATTCTTTAACTATAACCTCTCTTTTATTATTTCATTCTCATAAATTGTAAAAACTTCACCTTTAAGCGTAATGTATCTATTTCTTTAAGGCTTGAATCCGAGAAGTAACTAATTTTGTCAGCACATTTCACTTGTGTCCTGAGGCCTGAGTGACCGTTGGTCAAAGATCCCATGGAGACTGTATTGGCAGTCAGTGGTCTGTGCATTTTGTAACGATTGGCATGTGGGACAAAAAGTCAGAAAAAAGAATATTTCCAAAACAGTTGCAGACTAAAATCTGCCCAAATTTGGATTGTTGGGCTGTGGGAAATAAAAAAGGTTTGTATGCATTGAGAGTGTGTTAGGTGAGGTATGTTTAAGAGTCAACTTGCATTAAAATCTCTATTTTTCAGAACCAAAATTTCTCCAAATGAGAATAGATTTTTTGTCACAGTAACTTGGTTATGACTCTGGTATCAAAACAGCTGGATTGCAGCATAGGAAAAATGATGCCAAAGTAAGGGAAATGTTTTTTTCCCTCTGCTCTGGTAAGCAATAAGTGATGGGGAGAAGCTCATGTATTTCTATAAATTTGTCAATTTTCAGAAAAGGGCCTTTGTCTGAATAGCTAGCTTTCTGTTACTTCAAGACTCAGTATGCAGGTGTTACAATGCATTGAGAGTGATTGTGTATATGATCGTTTAATCCTTTAAAAATAGCACTCTACCCCACCTGCAAATTTTAAAGATGATTTACTTTTGAAATCAATTTTACTACTTATCCATCCTAATTTTTTTGTCCACTCAATTTGTTGATGTGGACAAAATAAATGTTTTTAACCCTCTCTGTAAGCCCTGGGGTCATTTTGTACTACCGGGGTTGTATTCTTCACACTTAAGAATACTTTTAGTGTGAAGATCTCTTTGAAACTTTCAGTATTTCTCAAAAAATCATTTTGACAGACTGCTATGCGCAGCGTACGGATCGGATTAACGAATAAATTTCCTCTTTGGAAAATTGTGGTACAGAGTTCCCCATGTCATATGGATCCGATAGTAAAACACAACGTACGGATAGGGTTAATATGGGTCTTTGATGAGACTGGATAGCACTCGATTTCTTTTTCTTTATAAAGAGACATGTAGTACTCTCTGAATGGTTGCCCAGGAGTGGGCCCGGATACATAATTTATAAGTGTCTCAGTTATTTTTAAAAATTTCCTTCACAAGTGTGATTTCTTTTGGTATATGTTAGATTGAAAAGAAAGTAATATTTCCTTTACGTTATGTTGTCAGTAATTCTGCAAATCAATGACAGATTTAAATAAAATTTTGTTTTACATTTATTAGGATTTGGTTTCCCAAAAAATGTTATAAACGTCATTTTAGCTTATGTAAATTGCTATTATGTGATTTGCAAAAGTGACACACGTCACTAAAATCTGACAATGGCTTGCAACAATAAATGTTTTCATCATTATTTTTTTTCCTTTCTTGGGTTCATTGTGTACTTTGAAACTAATTCAGAAAGAGTGCAGGGAACTTGAGAGAGAGAGAGAGAGAGAGAGAGAGAGAGAGAGAGAGAGAGAGAGAGAGAGAGAGAGAGAGAGAGAGAGAGAGAGAGAGAGATTATTATATGCAGCCGTGGCCCTTGGTCAAGGTAAGACACTTCTGCAGTGGACTATCATGTCCCCCACTGGTTGATTAAATTTAGGAGTGCTTTCTTCCAAACACATGACCGAGTGTCATGTAGTTGGATAGAATGGTGCTTGACAGCTTGTTGTTCAGATATATTCAGATAAAATCCTGCACTGCAAGCCTTCTACTTGCGTGTAACCAGAGATTGTATCAATCGGTGATGTTTTATCAGGGTTTAAGAACTGATATTCTACATCCCATACGAGTGATAAAAACGCCCTTCTGTTTAAGCCGAAGAGATCTCGTGATATATGATGTCATTATTTTTTAGTAAGAGTTTTACAGCACTTGCAACACAATAACTTAAAAAGGTCATATAAGTTCCAAAGATTAGAGGTGTTACAAGCGAGTAACAAACATTAAAAAAAAGGAGGAGAGATCAGGACGATAGATGTTTGATAGGAAAGAAGACAGACAAAAACAACAAAAGGAAAGCAAATAAGTAGGATCTACCAGTGGCACCCTCCAAACCACCCACTCTGTGCCTAGAAGAGCCTTGAACTTCAACAAAAACAAACTTGAAAGCACAAAGCACAAAATGAGAGGAAAGGTTTCATATTTGAACACTTTAATTTAATAGGCATAACAATGGCATATAATAAAAGGGGACACAATAAATCCGAGACAACATACATCTTATCTTACAGTTCCTGTATCTCTCCCTCTACAGCAACATACAGACCCCAACTACCCCTAGGAGCAAAATGGCACCCTTGCAATGCCCTCTTTCGTAACATAAGTTAGAATCTCACAGTAATCAGTAGCACAAGTTTTGATCTCATTCAACTAAGAACATGAATAAGGGGGAAAATGGCCATAAAATAATGGATTGATATTTGCCACCCCTTGAGACACTGACCTTGAAATGCTCTGTAAATTCCAGTTCTACCAATCAATTTGAAGTTCAGATACATATTGTCAGCTGTTTGGTCTTCACAGATTCTTCATAAACCTTGTACTTCATCATTCACAAAATACCAACAACAGTAAAGAAATGAGTTGTATCATTTTCATCTCTGTGATCCATTTACACCAGATTTACACAAAACATCCGTAGATTCACCTCATGTAAGTCAGTATTTTGGGGTGCATAAATTGAAGAGTCAATAAATAAAATGAATGAAGAAGAACATATTTTAAGAGTGTGTACTACAAACAAGAATCGTGCAAAAAAAAATCCATCAGCCCCTTTAAAGAAGATTATAATAATTACACACATAATTAGTAAATTTGGCATCTATGCGACGAAGAGCAGGGCAATTTCCCCTTCTACCCAGAAAAAATAAACATTACAGCACCTCAACTCTTATCACCCACAATGGTGCTTACCCTGTGAGCTCTTTGCCTCTGAGGCACTCAGGAACCCTGTATCAGAGCTGTGAAAGAGAACTCCTCAGCTTACACTTTGTCATATTGAGACACGAGTTCCAAGTGTGAAAGGGGGAAAAACTGCAGAGCATTCTGAAGCCGGTACTCGGGCCTGATGGCTTACTTAAAGGGAAGTAAAATATTATGTACTTTATCATTCAAACACACGAGACAACTCTTGTTAAAAAAATAGAAAGATTATACATTATATTATATAGTCAAGTAACCCTGACAATTAACAATGGTTGTTTTGACTAAACAGGAAACAAAGCAGAAGTCACACAACCAGAAATGAAAACATTGACCCATCACCAATGTTACGAATTAAGAAAGCAAATTGAAGTCCTTCTACAATTTTAAAAGAAGAGAAAATCAGTAACAAATACCCCATTCATTCATGCAGTCTTCACATTGCAACTAAACAGGTCTAGTTAAATCTCAGCATACAACTTTACCTGTTGATGTCCCAGATGTCCTCAAATTTATTCAAATAAAAAGGAAAAAAATACCTTACTTAAGGCGTTGACATTTTCCACATTCAAAATGCATTGAATAAAGAGACATCAGTCAACACCACAAGACAACAAAATCGTGAATAAAAAAGACCTAAAAGAACAGAAAGCTAGCATGAGACAAACTAAACACAAAATTGAATCTTTTAAAACAGACTTCATTAAGTATTTAACACAATTTTTAAAAACCTCAAATGCAATTGCAACAATGGGGAAGAAAGGGAAAAAAGGAGTAAAATGAAGCCTAAAATAGGAAATAAAATCCTTACTTATGTCATTTTCTTTTTGGTCAACTGACAAGAGGCTCAAAGAATTTAAAAAGTGGTTTCTAATAGCAAAATAACTTTTTTTTCAGATTCATAGCTCTGAATTTTTCTGCTTGTTGAAGTATTCTTGGGATTTCTTTGGATCTGGAATAATCTGAGGACAAAATAAAGAAAAAAAAAGAACGTCAAATGGGTCAATGTTTCATGAGTAAGTACATATATAATATGAAGTCAATTGTGATGCACACATTATCGCTGTCGTAAAGCAAGATCAAATTGAGTTTCTCGTTTTTCTGGTGGTCATGTCGACAAATGATCTTCACTACCATTTCCATCTAGACATAAGTGCCCTTATACTTGCACCAAATTGCACACATGTGCATTTATTTACCCACCAATATCACCAACCCTAACATCAAAAGGAGGGCGCATGCTTCAGTAGGGCTACACCATGTCTTTCTCCTATTTAATAGAATTTCACTGTGTTTTATAATCCTTAGCTACTCAATGGAAATAACTTGAAAATTACTAAAAGACAACTACACTTTACACATGTAGTGTTGATATAATTTGCGGTTGCAAGAAAAAAGAGAAATTCCAACAATTTTTACTCATCCTGTGTAAAGTAACATCAAACAAATATTCCAAGCACTACTGTAAGAAGTTAGTTCTGATGGGTTTCAACAGAAAGTGTTCTCCTTATTCATTTTGTTGCTGTTGTAAGAAAATCTTGTTACTTCTAATCATTACACTTGCCTCCTTGGAAAACAATTAAAAAACATTAAGTGTATTTCTGAAGAAAATACTGATCAATACTGAGGGTGTCCATGAAAAAACGGATGAGGTCACAAAAATGGAAATCGTGAGGATACAAATCATATAAAATAAAAAGCTTTCAGACTAATAAGTTCATTTGTTTGATTGTTGGTTTATTCATTTTGGAAGCAGAATTTGAATGGAAAATCAAATAAAAATTATAACAAACCAGTAGTCAAGCAGAGAGGAAGTTTTCAGTCTACAACTACATTTGTACAAGGTTTTAAAATAAGTTTCATCATAGTTTTCATTTTGTGACCTTCAGTGATATCTCATGGTCTCCTCCCATTCTTGAATCTTTACAGAGACAATACCATTTCTGATAGATTTCTCAGCAGCAATTTGGAAAAGACACATATTATGAAATCGTGTGACCTTCAGCCTTCAGTAGAATACACAACTAAAAACACCTATCATACTTAAACCTTTTTCCATGACAATCAACAATGACTAATAATACTTCCCCTAAGTAGCAAAAACTTTACTCTCATTTGTTACAGCTGTAGATGAAAGGATAGTACCCCGCTGAATGATAGCCAATGCTGTTAACCCCTTTGTTGCCAGGGGGGGTATGTGTTCCTACAAAACTATCAGCACAGATTTTCAGCTGGGCTTGTTAGCCAGGACAGCAGTCTCATCTATTTCAGTGTCAGTGGATCCACTCGCTGTCTGGTTCTGGCCCACTCATGCCATATTATTCCAAACCCATGTCTTCAATGGTGTCACCTTCCTCATCGCCATAATTCCCAATATTCTTGTAATTTCAGAAAACTTGCAAATCTAAGTTAAAAGATAAAATTGTCTGCTTTTTCCAGTCATTTTGGCGTCTACGTTTTGTCAGAGCATGCATTCATCTGCCAAACTAGACCAGTGTATATCAATCTTTTGCAAGCCAAGCAGTTAAGTAATATGAGTAAATTTGGTACCAATATGTGCATTTTATCAATTCCTGAAAACAAATACACGCTGAGCTTGTGGAGAAATCTCCATACAGAAAAATAAGAGCCACATGTTAAATGGGACATACATGTAACTTCTAATAAACAACCAGGAACGGCGTATTTTGCCAACCTCCGTGACATCCGTGATATGGCACAAAGCTAAAAACAACACATTTTTGGAATGAATCAGTTCATCTTAAGGTGACGAAGAAAGCCATGAAAGTGAACACAGTTTTTAACTCCTTCCAAGGTTATTTTGAAATTGGGTTGCACATGGAATCTCTACTGCTCTCTTCACGAAATCGGATCAGCCCTATTAGAAAGGAGCCTCAATTCAGGGAGACCACCGCTTGAATATAAACTTTCTGTTTTGTTTGTTCATTTTCAAAGAGAAGCAAACAAATCAACCCAGTAATGGTCATTTAGAGTCGAAAAAAACCCAAGACATACCAACAGAAGCAACAGAGGGAAAGAAAAAAATAGGACCTACCAGTGCCACCCTCCAACCACCCATTCACGGCGTAGAGAGGGACCACACCCCATTATAACATGATTAATAAAACTAAATAATATAGACAAAAGTATCTAAGTAGAAAAGTAGCTGTCTTACAGCGTCATTATAAAAAAAAACGTAAGAGGAAATGGGGAAAGGACGTTAATACAAGTGATTGTCTTATACAGATGGCTGTTAGATCAGGTTCGACCATATTGACTGCTGAGCGCAAGAAGTGACGTTATCCACTTTTCAGTTTAGAGAAAAACATGTTTGAAATTTTGATGACATTGAAATCTCTATTACATAGTCAAAACAGAAAAGCTATTACCTCCATACCGGATCAAGCTATGGCTTAGATATTTACAGAGGTAAAAGAGCGGCTTAAAATCTCACTACCTATATTAATTATTCCATTTTGACCAAAAGTGGATATAGTCACTTCTTGTGCTCAACCAACGATATATGAAGAGGTACTCACAGTGTCACTGCCAGGCTTCCAGCCAGCAGGGCACACTTCGCCATGTTTGTCCGTGTACTGGAAGGCTTGGACCAATCTCAGGGTCTCGTCTACTGATCTCCCAACAGGCAGATCATTCATGGTGATCTGTCGCAGAGTTCCCTTGGGGTCAATGATGAAGAGTCCTCTGTGGAAATAAAGAAACAGCAATACATACTGACTGCTCAGTGTAAGATTCCCTCATTATCGTTTTTCAAAATGAATAGAGGAGTCAAACACCTAGCAGATGATACAAGGCTACCTATTCATTAAAGAAAGATAAAAGATAATATGGAATCCATTCAAGTATTGTTACTTAATGTATGTACGAATACGCTTTTACAACGGGACAGATTATGATCAGCGAATATATGTCATCAGCCATCTGTATTGTCCAACAAGGTTTTCAGCTCACTCAAACAGCCCAATATCACTTCAAAATTAGAATTGCTGCAATAACTCAGTTAAAAATGTTTTAATTTGATAACGAACAAGCAACAAAACAGCTCCCACTTACCTCAGACTATGCCCCAGATCTTCCAAATACACACCATAAGCCTTGGAAATTTCGTGTGTGATGTCAGACAGAAGGGGGAAATCAATTTTACCAAGACCACCTTGATTCCTTGGCACATTTGTCCTGAGAATTTGAAAGACGCAGAAAATAAAAACTCCACTACCAAGAGTGTGCCCTTTTCAGAACAGTGAGAAACTAAATGAAAATATGGTGACAAACAATATTAATAAGCACATTTTTGTTACATACATTTTTTGCCGCTGTCACAAGAAAAAGTAGTAACTATAATTATAAATACCAACACTTATACAATTTCTCAAAGAATATTTTCCTCTCAGTTATTAGTCTAAAAGAGTAATCTGTTGACAAGTGTCTCTTTAATCCACATACATGACATTTATGATTAAAGAATAATAACTTGCTATGAGAATAACAGGGGAACAAACTTTAAATCTAAATCGGCAAAACATGTCCATAGTGGAAATTTGTTCATTTCAAAATAAAGCTATTAACCTCTAATCTACTGCATGATCTTGAGACATCCAGAACAGGGAACAAAAGAGAAGCACCTGGTCAGGTGCCAGAACTGAGAGACAAACAATAAGGAAACCTAACAAATACGATCTGCCATTTTATGAAATGAGCTTATAAATCTCAACAACCCTCTGAAGCCTCCAGTCCCCTACCCCCACCCCCTGAACCTTACACAACTCATGCTTTTGAGCTTCCTTTAGGTCAATAGCCCGATTTGCATCACATCTGCACGCTGAGGTATGCATTCGGTGCAGAGAAAGGTAAAGGCAAAGTCCACCAGGATAACAGCATTAAGTAAAGAAAACATCAATATTTGCATGACACAGTGGAATCGGGTGCTTATAAATTTTTGGGCATATGGAGTCATTGGTATCCTTTCAAAGTTTGTATCTGTGAAACACTGCTGACAAAATGAGTTACTTCTCGGATTCAAGCCTTATGGAAATAGATATATCATACTTATAGGTGAAGATTTTACAATTTATAAGTATGAAATAATAAAAGGCATGTAATAGTTAAAGAAATATGGCACCCAAAAAACCCCCTACAAATTTGACCCCAGTATCAATTTTTGGCCAATATCTTCATTTGTGGATTGCGAGAAGTAACTCATTTTTTTCAGCCCACTCCACATTTGTCTTTTGATGAAAAAAATACCCATTTCTTTTGAATAGAAATCAATATGGTTGCCACTGAAGGATAAGGGGAGTCGGCTGGTGTCGGAGGCAAAATTAGCACCAAAAATGGCAACAAAAAATTGGTGATTTTCAAAGCTTGAGTGTCCTTGAAACTGCAAAATTTACATTTGTTGTGCTTTTCATCAAAGTTTCTCAGTAAAATCCACACAGAAATGTGTACTTAAATGGACATCAAAGCTCTTGAGCCAATCCCCCCCCCCCCCCAAAAAAAAATTAATTAAAAATTAAAACAAACAAAAAATCTAGAAAAGAAACTTTCCAATGGGCAGAAAATTGTCTGCTTCTTCAATTTCATTATTTGGACAAGCGTCCGATTTCACCACAATGCAACACATAAAATGAATAACAACTGTGAGTGCATTATCTGTCCTCAGAGAAAGTTGCAAGAAAAGTTGCAAGACTTGTATAGCTAAAACAATGCCACGGAACTATTGGAATACATTGTTGCTATGCTCATTGCAATCAAAAGTAACTAATATGAGTTTTGTTCGATCAAATCAGACGTTAAATATGTGAATGTCTACCAAAAAAAACAACAACAACAAAAAAACTGCATCCGGAGTGTACGAAAACAGTGTGTCCCCTGACACATGCGTCAGGTCTTTAAACTCTCGCTGATGTTGGGCAGGTGTGACCAGCATGGTTTTGGGGCTATTCAAATATAATCTTACACTTTGTTTGGAATATTTTGCCCCCCCCCCGCTTTGCACTTTTTTTACTTTCCTGCCCCCCCCCCCCCCCCAATCCTGTAATATTACGTTATTCCCTTTTATAATATTATGGCATTTATATTGCGCAAATCCGTGCTACAATCACTCCTCTATGCGCTTTACTTTTAAATTATTAATTATAGTATTTATGAAAAACATGCATACACACAAGTGACATAATAATTAAATAAGGTACAATAAGCGGAACTTGTCCAGAAAAACTTACGGTGTCATTTTACCACTTTAACCGCACCAGTGAAATCAAAATTAGACTAGATCTACATGTCATGTAGCCCAAATATCTCCCAGTGTATAAAGCGCGAGATGACATATTATATATATATCGTGCTTGCCGCTCGAGGTCCACTGTATCGCCACAATGCAGTGCTTACCGCTCGAACTTACTCTAAGTGAATGGTGTAGATCTAGTTACTCTCTTTTTATGTTATTAAAAAGAAAAATTACGTTGTCATAAATTATATTTTCCTTGATTATTTTTTCACCTTACAAAAGTGTAATCTTACATTGGTTCAATCCATGTCTAGATCTACCCTTCTAGCCTAAAATTTGATGTCTTTCACAAATTTTTATACTAGATCTAGATCTATCTACCTGGTGCTTCGGTACCAAGCAAACTAAGTAATCAGATGACCGTGTTTACGATAGATATTTACTCTAGATCTAGATCAAGCTAGACTAGAAGATGATTCAGTCCAAACAAGACTATTGGGTCGGTTTGCTCGCCAGATTGATGGCTATCGTGGCACAAGTCGATCACACCCGACTCGTTGTTTTCAGGTGACGAGTCGGGCGATCATCCCGACCCGACCTGACCCGGCACGGGTCACTGGGCGGCGGCAGGCACCCCGAAATGCAAAGGAGCGAATTGTTCCCCTTGGCGTCGTTATTTTTAGTCGTGGAAGAAAATTTCTGTGATTTTTAATTAAATTTTATTATTACTTTCCCAAATTTTGTGGGAAATTGGCTAAAATTCGTGAATTCACGAAAATGGTAAAAGTTGCGCGCGCTACTTGCGGGTTGCGGGCGCGAATTTCTTTGAGGACAGCATTATGAAACTCAGATTACAAACACATAATGCTAATAAATGAATTTACCAGGCCAAATGAGTGAACTGAGAATCCACAGAGCATCCAATGACCTCAGTGTTAATCTTTTTGAACTCTGCCATGCGGTCACTGTAGGCGATAATTTCAGTGGGACAGACAAATGTGCTGGGGACAAACAAAGCAAAAACTGTAGAACCAACAGGCCAGTGCAGACATATGCACTATATGAATACAATCTATTACCATCATATAGAGGCATTTTAAAGCATTTGTGTGTTTTCCTAATATAAGTAAGCATGTACCTAAATACATTTTTTACTCTTTTGACAGGTGAAGTTTAAAGCCCTTATACATAAACAGAAAATGTCAATTAAGGGTACGGCACTTCTGACTAGCTCCATAATCAGGAGCACATGTTGAGAAGGAGAGAGATTCCAAAAAAAGGGAAATATTCCGACCCACTTTGATTAGAACCCTTGAACTTCCAATGGCTGCAAAGTTTGTAGACAAACCGCTGCAGTGGCCAATGTGATACAACTGAATATGTCTCGCAATTTCACGCAAATTGTTTCCAAACCTAGTCTCTCAAAAGCCAGCAAAGGCAACACTGTAAATAAGCTTTGATGCGTAAAGATTCAGTTTATGACTCCTAAACAAAACTGTTATTCAATTAAATAAAATCTTATTACAGTATATATAAAACAGAGAAAAAGCACATTTTATAAGATGCAAAAAGTACCTGATAACATTTTCAAAATCTGGGAATGTTACCGTCTCTGAAGTTGCTCTGTCTTATGGTCACTCAGTAACAAAAAAGGGGGGCCAAAAACGAAAGTATTTTGGAAAAAGAGGATTTCTTGAGAAATTAGTAAGTACACATCTTGTAGCTAGATTCTATATTCTGTTAGGAGTAAACAAAAATTTGCACACGAAAATCAATTTCCTTTGACGAGTTAACATAAATACAGGTTTCATTATCGTAAAAAAAGAAATACTTACAAGTCAAGGGGATAGAAGAAGAAGACCAAATATTTTCCCTTGTAGTCAGACAGCTTGATGTCCTTGAATTCTCCCTTGATCACTGCAGTTCCATTCCAGTCAGGTGCAGGCTTTGAAACTGAAAAAAACCAAGTGAAGAAATAAAGACGTATAACGTAAAGTAAAATGAAGGTAACCTGAACACATACTCAGCAAAAAGCAGCAGTGGTCAGAAAGAGGATGGTTGGGAAAGGGGGGGGGGGGGGGGGGGGATTATTCTTTATCTCTCTCATCTTTTCCCTCGTCCTCTTTATAATCTCAGGACTTCAATTTTTTTTCCATTTAAATATTCATAGTGCTGGCAGCTTTGCAGGATACTATATATATATATGATAAAAATAGTTCCTAACTTGAGCCATATAAAATCAATAACTATTTCCTCATGCAAGCCTCTGTCAATAAACAAAAGCTGCATGCTTCAGCGAAGTTAATGAGCACTGACTACCTTACTGACCACTTTATATAACTTAATGGCTGACAAAAAGCTGTAGGTTAATTTCCTACATGACGATCTGGACAGTGGGCAACAGATGTTGAGCGAGGTAAAAGTAACCACAGGTGTTACTGTTACAACAGAATTCATTAAGAGATACAAAATATTGAAGGCTTCCACAGCCTCGCTTTAAAGCTTGGCAGGGAAAAGAGGTTGGTCCCTCCTTCCACACTTGTGTTTCATGACAGAATTCCCTCCTTCCACACTTGTGTTACATGACAGAATTCCCAGATTCACACCCAAAGTTGGGGAAGACAATAAAAGAAAAAAAGGAGACGAGATGTCAACATCGAACAGGCATTACAGAAAAATAACTGTCAAATGAACAGAACCACAGGAAAAATTTCTTTTTAAACTCCGGTCTAAAGTTGAATATTTGAATATTTTCTTACTATAGCTAAGCTTGTCCGCAACATGGGCGCTGCATTGTGCAGTATTTCCACTATAAATGCCCCACTGAGAAAAGCCCTTAGTCCAGAAATTCACAAACCCATCAATCAAAATTGAACCATTTAGCAATGCTAGAGAAAATTTGATTTTTTTGCTTTAGTTAGCCCTTTTTCATTTGGTACCTAAGAAAGGGTTTTCTATTCTTAGAATTATGCTTTTTTAATTTAAAGGTTCCATTCACAAATAAAAAAGTGACTGGTTGACCAGTGCAGCAAAACATAGAAGACCTACATATAGGAAAATACTCTCAATAAGTGGACCATGTAACAAAAGATTCTAGACGAAAATCTATGACATCTCAGTAATTAATTCGAGCGTTTGAAGCTAAGACAGTTGATGTTTTCAAAGTAAATCACTTTTTAATGAATTTTTTCCGGTCATAAAAAGTAGACTTTTTTGGTACTTTTAATACACATAGAATAATGTGTAGAGAGAGAGTATGGACCTGTTTTTAGTCCTTTTCAAACAGAAAATATTATAAAAACTTTGAACTAATTCACTTACAGCGATGAAACTTGGCACCTTACCAAAACTGTTTATGCCAAACTCAGTCATGAGCTTGGATTTTATAATCATCTAATTAGCATACATTAGCTCATTAGCATTTTATGCAACATCACAGCAAAAATATTCTGAAAATTAGTGTAACATGCAATATTTTTCTATCCTACCATTACACAAATAATACACTATCCTCTGTATTATATAGATTTAGATGTTTACACCCTCATCTATAAAAATTTATATCATTCAGAAGGCGGGCTGCTTCAACTTTGACCCTGCCTGTTACAACCAACCTAGGTTGAGAGGGATGCAACTTCCCAGCAGAAAGGTAGAGATACTTAAAAATCAGTCATAGGGGAATTGGAACATGTATTCATGTCTTTTCTGTGAAAGAAGAGGGTGAAGCAACGAACCACCAAGTTTAGGCCTTCACTGCAATTTTGCTGTTGCTGTCCTGGCCCCGACATCAGTTTCTGTACCTTACAGTCAGGCAAATGATTCCCCCTTCTCTCTCTATCTCATTTAAAATGATTAAATCTCAGGTGCTTAATTCAGAACTTGCTATCTGGTCTATGCAGATCATTCAGAATCAATGCATTTACAGTCACCCTGGCCTTAACAATTCTGTGGAAATCTTTTCCTGGTGCCCTATGGACACCAGACCATGGTCATAGTGAGGGGAGAAGCATTCTTTATCTCCTTAGTAGTGACTGCAAAATTTGTTCCCTTTCCTTCAAACTGTCTGTAACTGTAAGTAAACATCTATTTCCCAGAATTTCTCTTTCCTGTTCTCAGGAATTTTCTCATCCCTCATTACTGAGTGATAGATCAAATGTCTAAAGCTAGTATAATAATATTTAGATTCTAATAACAAAATGTAAAGAAGCATAGATCTACAGGCCTCTCATTTCTCATTGGAATTCAGTCATCTGCAAATGCTACTTGGCGGGTAGGTCAAACATCCCTGCAGTTAAAAGGTTGAATAAAGCTTTCTTTTATTTCATCTTCAATCAAATCCTCCAACAACCTTGCCTTTGCACCCCAATTTTCAAGTTTCAGCTGGGCTTTCGATTTTTTCTAGGTGTATGAGTATGAGAGCACAAATGCTTCTATCATGACGAGAAACTGGATTTCCTGGTCAGCGCTGGCTTCTCTCACATTCATTATAATATCTAAAGAGAAGTTGCAGTCTCAAGTAATACTGCATCGATCGATAACCGGAGGTTCCCGATGGCGGCGGCCGAAGAGAGCTGCGTGGAAGGCGCCTAATTTGCAATCAAGCTAATTTTGAATCAAATGTGAATGGCTTCCAAACACAAACGTAAATATAGGCTATATAAAAAAATAAATGTGTACTTATGTTATATGCCTAGTGTAGTTTCAACATCTCCGTGACTTTCCCGGCTTTTAAAAAGCCTTCTCGATTTTGAGAAGCTGCAAACAGCGAGTTTTTTATATTGACTTGAACCGAACTTAGTTTGGCCTCTTCTCTAATAGTTTGCCAAGTTTGAATACTATGGGACGCCATCTTCATGTCTAAACCAAAACTCAAAGAGGGTAACCCGATTATAAATCAGTCTGTAGCCACCTCACACGATAGCACTGTGCACAGCATCCCGTTCGCGACAAGCCGCGACGGTTGGGATCAGCTCTTCGCTACTTTCACAGCATCTATTTGGATGACACAATCCTTCTGAAGAACAATTTTCCCTATTTACAAACATGTATTGCATGTCGACTTACACCAAGAAACAAAACAGTCACCTTCGGTTTTCATCATTCTATAAATAGTAAAATATAATGCAACTTTATGCAAACTGCAAAGATGCAATCGTCTAAAACGAAAGAGAAGTATGTCATTCTCAAAAAGAAAAAGTGGACAGAACATAATACACATAGAAGCTTAAACGGACAGGTGTGCCAACAGATGCAGCCCTGTTTGGTAAAGTTGCTATTTTAGTTTTTATAGGTTAGACAAAAGACATACAAAGCCCATGTACTGCAATCTACTCTAAGATTTTTCTTCCACATATTAGTATTATTTATCAACATTTGGCCCCTAAAAGTGCAGCGTCTAAACTAAAATAATTAGAATGACTAAGAACGCTTTTACTATGACATGATGACTTCTTCTGGTGGTTCACTCACATTCTCTTGTTTTTATTCTACAAGAAGTTTTTAAACTGAGCACGAATCTCAGGGTGCTTCTGTTTTCAAACACAAAAGGTATTATTTAACCCTCATCCTGCGGGGGGCGGGTTTATGTCGCCCGATAAGACTATTTCGGCACCTCGCCTGCATTCTGGTCCCGAGTCAGTCTAGCCCCTGGCTCAGTGCATGCGTGCCGAGCATCATCTCACGTTCAATTCGGGTCCCGCGTCGGATCAGCATTCACGCATGTCAAGTGTGTGTGCGTCAGTCTGCTTGAGTTTGTGTGCGTTTGCTGTCTTCTTCTAGAACCGCCTGCATTGGTTCGTAATCAAGGCATACATTTAATTTCAAAGCACGCCAAGTTGGTAGTTCTAGATGTTCGTCTAATGAAATTTATAAGAAATTGATCCACTTAAACATGAGGAGCTCGAAAGGATAGTCAGGAAACAAGACTTCCATTTTTCAATACAAAATCTTTCAAATGAGCTTGATTTTGTATGAAATGATACTACCTGAAAAAAAAATTTAAAGTTTGTTTGATAGTTTTGAATACCATTGTCATTGTGCGGGTACAAAGAACACTTTGTTGAGTGCAAAACATTTGAAAATTGACCAAAATTATCCCCTTTTGAACCTCAGGTCATTCATAACAACAAGAGCGTCTAGAAAGGTTATATTCGAATGGGCGTAACTACTCGTAATGTCTTATACAGCTTGTGAGAGGGGGTTATTCATGTCATGAGTATAGTATAGTAACAGTAACACTTTATGAATAGAAAGCTATAAGATAGAGCGTTATTTTCATCATTGATTAACACACTCCCGCGGTATTCATGGCGAAAACACACGATTCCCGGCACGTGCGCTGCACACCAACAGTACACACTCACACTGAGTGACCCCGGCGGCCTGCCCGGAACGTCTGACGTTTCAGTTGCTGATAGTGATAGGCCTAAGATTCGCATCGGGAGGACTTCCGTAACGAGCGACCACCCCATCAAACACAATAAAGAAGAGGCCTAGACCTAACCTTACCCCTACCCCTACCCCAAGCCCAAGCCCTCAATTCTGCTGTCTCACTATTATTATTATATATAGTGGTCGCTCGTTACGGAAGTCCTCCCTTCGCATCTCAGCACAGACGCAGGACAACAGTTAAAAAGGAACTTTAATTCTCCTTTTTAATATAATAGTAGATCTCTAATTATAGGCTGGTGTTTTTCTTACTTTTTAAAAGCCTCTTCTCTGTCTCGCGGCTCTGCAAATCATCATGACAGCTTTTTTTTTGCAGTATCTAGTAGTAGAATGCAGAAACAGTGAATTATTACCAGATCCACTTACTGACAGCTTGACTCCATTGAATAGTATGGCCAATAGTGCGTCGAGTTTCTTGTGGGTAGACTTGTCCCCCTGCATAAGAGTGGCATGAATCTTCGCTTGCAATTGCCAAACCCAAGCAAGAGAATAGCAGAAGACCGGTAAGCGCAGCCATCGAGCTCATGTGTGTCGCCATCTTGTTACACGTATCGAAGCTAGAAGATCGAAAGTCGAAAGTGTTACTCTACATTCATTTTCGAAAAATAAATTGTTTATTAAGTCTAAAAATCTAAATCATCCTTTAAAATTTCATAATGAATAATTACCAACTTTTAAACCAACAAATATTTTATTCATTTTTAATTCGAAAATTAAATCCTAGTGACTCCGTGTGAATCATTTCCTTGACACCGAACCCAAACACAAATGGCTGATAACTAAGTCGAAATGGCAGTTCTATGGAAATCTAGTCACTTTTTTTACTGTCTCAAGCGGTGATGAAAGGATACAACTAATTTCATTAAGATTAATTTGCAACGTGCATTTGGTAAGTAGTATTTTTTCATGTGTCATTTGAAGAATCATGCTGGTGTGTGTGTTGTGTGGTGAGATGAGTGTAAGTCTTGCACTTAGATCTATATGAATATGAGTCTTGAATCTTGAGTATGGTCGTCGTGTTAATGATGTTTGTGTGCGTAGGCCTATAATAGTAAAGAACCTCACTAATCAGTGCTGAAAGAAGCATGCTGTACCGTTGTCATGTGTGTCAGATACTGCCCTAAGAAATAACGGTTCAGTAAAGTACTTCAAGTCTAAAATATAATTTTCAAAGGCAGTTAAGGCTAAGGCATATTTAAAGACTATAGTTTGTCTTTCAAGATTTAAACTAGATCTATATCTAGATCTAGCTACCGGCTCTGGGCTTTTTCTTTGTACATGGTACAGAAGATCAATGTGATTGTTGAGGTAAAGTGGTACAAAGTCCAGTAAACCAGATTAGATGGCTGGCAAACAGTGTTTGTTTTTATTGTGTACCTTTAAATTCCTTTTTGTAGGACTGTAAAAATGACGCAATTTTCATGGGACCTAAACTTTAGAGGCTAAACCTCTGTAGGCATATAGGGGCCTACACGAGCCTACGGCATTTGTGATCCAGGTCCAGCGGGTGAATTTGAATTGAAGTCTGCATGCACTTTTAAATAGATCGAGTCTTGCAAGCCTTGACAATTTGAACTAGCTTTTCCCTGCTTGTCAACCATTTTCAATGTTAAAAAACACTTTTTGTGGTTTTTCTTTTTGTTATCTTATATATTTATAAACATTTGCTATAGTGTGGTCAAAAATTTGAGGCGTAACTTATTGTCGAATATCTCCTTGACTATTGAACATTATATCAGATTCTTCAACGTTTACACAATAACTTATATCAATTTTGTCTTTTTTTCAAACACTTGTATATTGATTTTTAGAAAATTCCTCGGCCTAATAATAAAAAATCCAAGTCGATGGTTTCTACAGCTTTGAACAAGTTTACGGCTCGGGTAATATCGCTTTTAAAAGCAAGTCTGTCTTTGTTTTCTAATCACTATTAATTAATGCTTATTGAACTCATCTTTTGAGAACCTTTAGTGCAAAAAATGTGTTCACAATAAAAGTAATTTCTTGTTACAAGTTTTGCCTCTAAAAAAGTGTCATTGGTGAGCTGTGACGAGGCCATATGTGTATACAAAATGTACGCAAGAAGCGGGAAGTGCTGTGAACAATCCTATTTTCCGCGTGATAGAGATTTATAGTATTTTGTATAAATTTATGAAGAAAAGTTTTTTAATCTAGCCTCAATTGTTGTGGGAAAATATTATTAAATTAAGACAAATTGATACAAACTTCCGTGCAAAGCATGAGTGAGGGTGATTTACCTATTTAAGAGATATTTGGGGATAAGTTGCGTCACGAAATTTTGACCGCACTTACATAATATTATACCCAGAGGTTATGGTTTTGATGTTTCACTACATCTTGCAATAAGATTTGCATTGGGTTGTTTCAGCTTTCCTGCTTGCGTTGAATTCATATGCAGTTTTGTTTTGTTTGTTTGTTTGTTTTTTTGTGGTACATTTTACTAGTCCTGTTCGTGGTTTAATTGAGTATGCTTCCCACTGGCAAGGGAAGCCATGAGCATGGACACCCGTATAGTCACATACATATGATACCTTAAGGTACACTGGTTACTGAGAAGTGATGTGAATGTAGTCTGTCACAGAGCTTTTTATGAAATGGCAGAAGATATCAATTATGCTCTATATATGCAAGACAAATCAAATACTCTGCTGAGAACTGTTGCCCCATGCACAGCCAATGACAAGTGCTAACCAAGGTGACTTACTGCACAAAAGTTCCCCCTGCTTTACCCTGGATATATGTGATAGTGCCTTTCATGGGCTCTGCAACAGTCATTTACAATTGGCAGGACTTGGTTCCCTCTTCTGCCTTTGAGAAAGCATGTTCTGATTTCTCATAATCTATAGTCCAGGAAGCAGTATTTTGAGGTGTTTTTAAAAAGTTATATGTACAAGCATACTTTTTTCTTGGAATCTATAGGCTACTTATTATTTTCAAAATAGAAATGAATATTTTAAAAGCCAAACTATTTAACATCAGTGTTATTTTTCTGCCAAGCTCTGGTATGGTCTTGAAAAGAGAGATCTATTACTTACAAAAAATGATAATATATTTATACTGCAAGTACAAACTTGCAACATTCGTTTCCTTTGGGCTTGTTAGAATAAAAAAAAGAAGAACTTTAGGTGAGTAATGGCCAGCAGTGCAGTACACATCATTGTGCAAGTCCCTGGTCATTTGTGGCCGGCATGGTCTCATTGAATAAACATGTGGTGCAAGAGAGTTTTCTTCTTATAGTCCACCAGCGTCTGTGGTGTAGTGGTTATAAGGCTCTTAGCTGTCACAAGCAGGAATTCCAAGAGAGGATAATTTTTTATCAAGTATCTCAGTCTTTCTTCTGAGATGCTGTATCCCTCTCAGCCCGGGTTGGCCCTGACATGCAGGGTCAGAAGTCTGCCTCGTAAATACTCTAGATTGTGTGGAGGGTGGGGGTAAAAACACATGCATTAACAAAAAAGAAAAATTCTTATAGTCACTTATTTTCTGGCGTTTATAAGTCATTTGCAATAGAAAATCTGCAGTCTTGTGCTGTCTATATGTGTGGGTGTGTGCGTGTGTGTGGGCTCTTTTTGAGTGTGTGTATGTGTGTGTAGTATGCTGCATATTTTCATTGTACAATCGTGAGAAACTGAATTGGAATTGCATGGGAAAAGCATTTTTCTTGGTGAATGACATGATTTCAGAAGAAGGAAGCCCAGATGCCAAAGTTGCGATATGATGTGTGTGGCAGAGCTTTTGAGTTATTAGTTTAGCAAGCAAATTAAATAGTATAATGACCTAATGCTAGAGACTGCTAGGTTTAGTGTTTTGTGGTTTTGTTGCCTGTCTCTGGGATAAAGAATCATCTGATGCAAGTTTGTTTGTATGTGTGTGTGTGTGTGTGTGTGTGTGTGTGTGTCTGTGTGTGTGTGTGTGTTTGTGTGTGTGTGTGTTTGTGTGTGTGTGTGTGTGTGCGTACATGTGCTTTTACTCATGCACATCAATATGTAGGCCTATAGATGGGTGTCCGTGTTTGTGTGTGTGTACAAGTGTGTATTTGTGCATGTCTGTATGTGTGGGTGTGTGTGGGCTCTTTTTGAGTGTGTGTGTGTGTGTGTGTGTAGTATGCTGCATATTTTCATTGTACAATCGTGAGGAACTGAATTGGAATTGCATGGGAAAAGCATTTTTCTTGGTGAATAAGTAAACATAGTGTCATTACGACCCAAGTCATGCTTTCATTTTAGAGGCTTTAAGGGATGTCTGTTTGTTTTATATAGTTTACAGATGTAGTTTTTGATTCCACATACTCCTAATCTTGATAGAATTCCCGGGCTACTCAGTTACTTCACTGACACATTTTTCCATACCCCATGACATGTATTGCGTTTTGATCCTTCAGCACTTTAAAAAGAATTTTTTATGTTTTTCAACCTTACACTCATTGTTCTTTATTAAATTCACCTCATAAACCCTTTCTTGTTGAACAAGATCAAACACAATGGATGTAAGTTTTGGTGTAGCCGTGTCACATTTTAAATTTGTTATCATAGAATGAAGAATACAGGAAAGATTATAATGACGAGATCGAGAAAAGAAGAAACTTAACATGCTTTTGTCTCACTGAGCGTTTACCTTTAATGTGATTACCCAAGCGTGAACCCCCTTGTGACGCATTTCTATCAATTCAACAACCATTATAATATGTTCAACTAAGTCGATAATGGAATTCTGCACAATGAGCTTCGTTGTTAAGTATTGAGAAAGGGCTGGGTAATATAATCAATAACACTCGCTGAGTAAGAATAGAAGGAAAATGCCAGTAGTTTATTGACGTCCGTAGTCCGTAGGGAAATAGCCTACGTTTTTTCAATTACATACAAAACAGCCAATACAAAGTCACGAACTGAAACGGCCGCACGATATAGCTGGTGGCAGCAAAGGTGCACAGCCTTGGAGCTGTGGTTACAGCTCTCTCTGATCTTGCTCGAGAAAACATCTCAGTCACCACCCACCCATAATAGCTGTGTCATCGACATTTTTTCCAATAGTAATTTTGAGCCTGAGGTCACCAATAGGGAGAAATAACAAAATATATGAATCTTTACCTAGCTAATGAAGAAAGAGAAGAAGACATATATATCTACATTCCAATATAATAATATGTGGACTAGGCCTATATTGTTATGTCGGAAACATTGATCTTTATTGTTTGCTGGGGAGAGATGAAGAAAGTGGACTTTAGGTGAAAAAGCTAACAAACACACAGAGACAAACAAACAAATAAACAACATAAATGATTACATGTATGAATGCAGAGCAAGGATAGAGAAGGTGAACCATTAGTGAGAAACGAAGAACGAATCACTGCTATTTTCCTTAGTAAAAATTTTCAACAGTAAGACCTAGATCTAGGTAAAAAAGGAAAATAGCTATCAATTCTGCATACATGTTGGGCGCTGGGTGAGATGGTGGCGAGGAAAAACTTGGTGAGAAAGGAAGAAAGCATCAATACTGCATGCCCGGTTTTACGTTCCAGGGGTACATGTATAACACTATTGATTTCCCTGGTGGGACCTCGATCCGTCTCCACACTCTCTTCTACCACGACCCC